CACAGTTCCAGTTTTGGGTTTTGCAAATTCAATTTTCTCTTCCTGTGGCAAGGAATTCTAAATGTTGTGGAATATGTGTAATAGGTTTGCAGAACTGTGTTCAGAGTACTACTATGCAGTTTGTCCATGAATTTATGAAATAAGCCTATCATTTGTTTTATTTACACTTTTGTGTTCAGTGTGTCTAATTAAATTGCCAGACAAGAGAAATACTACAAACAGCCATGTTTTGTGGACTAAAAATATATTATCTGACATCCAAAGTGCCACTGTTCAAAATTTTTCATATTGATTCATTTCTGTGATTGGACATGATTAGTTCATGGATCATGACCACTAAAAAATAAGCTTGCAGAAATGGGTATTTGATCCTGCTGGTTTCTAAAAAAGGCATTTATTGTGTGAATGACATCATAAAACATTCATTTCGAGCTCTCAGAGTTAATCACGGGTATTCCCAGACTAGGCAAGACCCTGATTTTAAGCCTCCTGTTTAAAAGTTTAAATTTTTTGTTCGCCTTGTAGAAAGAACTTTCAAAATGTGTATCCTGGTGAGCCTCAAAAAAGCTCAACGGTTCATTCAGTGTCTTTGCAAAATGTCAGCTGCAGTTTGTGCTCCCTACCAGAAAGTTTATTTTTTAACTTGTGGAGATGCCATCAATTGCAATTAGAAATAGTTTCATTGTCCCTTTTGATTGTGAGCCATACTGTTGTCTGCCTAAACTAATCAAATTTTAAGCACTATGTCTGTTTTACCAATTCTGTTATGGATTATATTTCAAAAAATCTTATTATCCTCAAATTGCATTAAAAGTGCTTGTGTATTCCCAGTGGAATAAACCCAGGTCTTTAACAACATTTTAAATAGTAATAGTTAAAGGGCAACTGCAACAGGAGATATGTAGCCAGTTTCTACCTAAATTGTAAGGTGTACACACTGACAGTTTAAAAAATGTGGATAAAAATATGCCTTCAAAAAGTGGGAAAAAAAAAATGAGGCAAAATTTTTTGACTTTGGTTTTGAGTACAATTACTTGATGTCAGTTAAAACCCTTGCCGGGACAAGTAGAGATTAGTCTTGCCTGTCTCATCGCTTGGCTGGATGAAGTTAACATTCTTTGTGCTTGCTACCCCTTTGCTGGGATAACATATATATATTTTTAAATTACATTACTAAATTGGTTTTGTTTTACTTTCAGCAGACATAATTTGAAAAAGATTGTAGAGAATTCTTTCTGTATGCAAAATTGCACAATAAATAGCAAAATGTTCTTGCTACATTTGGTCTGGTAAAAATATGATAGTAAAAAATAAATTTGGTTGCAGTTGTCCTTTGATGCCAGGTTTGATATAAATATTTCTTTTGGGCCTGTTATGATTATGATTTGAAAACTTTGAATTGTTTCATGCCCCCGACTCATTTTGGCCCTTTACTGCAGTGACCCCCACACATTGCAGACGTTTTGCAGGATGGGCATGTTGCATTTCAAAGGGGCGGGTGAGCAAAACCTTAAATGTTCTTTTAGATAGTGAACTCTGTCTTTGGGGATCAGGAGCAATGCTTGCAAACATGCATGCCACAAAAAAAAAAGAAAAAAAGATTGGTATTGGTTTGGTTAGCTGATAGGGCCTTGAACCCTTTTTTCTTCATTTACCCTGCTGCATAAAATACAGCTCTTTAAAAAAAAAATTGGTTTATAGTATTTGAACCATACCGAATGCGTATGGAATCGTGAAGTGCATGGGTGTGAGCATTTAGGTCTGCAATGTAAACTGGTTGTGCAGCTACTTGTGCACTCAAATCTCTTTTTTTTTTTTTTTCTGACTGCTCCTCGCCCCCTGCTGGTTTTTTTTTCGCATGTTGGTTCAGTGGACATTTCATGCTCGTAACTCAGCAATGGTGCCCTTGCTTGCATGTGCCATCGGCGTTATGAGAGTCAGAAATACATAGTGCTCACATGCAGTCACATCTTTCCACTGGTGTACATGGGATCGGTCTCCCGACGTAAACATGGCTAGTACCTGGCGCTGAAAAAGGTTTAACTGCTCAACAGTTGCGTCCATGATATCCCGCCTAAGCAAGACACTTAGATAAGCTGCTTTATTGTTATCGCTTTCATTGGAGTCAGAATTGATAAAAGGTTGAAAAATGATTTCGCCCATCAAAGAGCCGACGCCTGTGCCATGCTGGCTCACCATGGCTACGCTGCCTAGACGAAGTGACTAAGCGGACGGAAGAAGCATGCACTCCACTTGTTGCCGAAAATTTAATCTACAAGTTCTTTGTGTTTAGGTAACCTCTCCAGAAATAATGTGACAAATCAACATATTTTTTTTTAACGAGTTGCTTTGGGAGTGGCAAGGAGTCAGCTTAGAATTGAAAACGAGTATACTCGGGCGTAGCAGGGGTTGTTCGTTTTGGGAATCCCCAAGTTATCTCAGGAGTGGCAGTGAAAAGGTTAAAGCAATGCACAGATGCCTGTCTTAAACACACTACACAACACATGAAAAAGGGCAGCTGTTAATGAAACTTAGATGTGTAATTTTTTCCACCTTAGTCATAAGCCTGAGTAAAGCCTAAAACTCTATAAGGTGGTAACCCTTGTTTCACTAAAAGTACTTGTTTAAAAGAGCCATTTCATTCATGGGCATAATTTCTTACCGGGAATAGGGATGTACAAAGTAGTAGTTGTGGTGATTGGCGTGGTGGGGGGTTCTTACAAATACTTTGGTGTTATTCTAAAATTCTGAAAAGGAAATACAATGTAACAAACAGTTTACAAATAAATGTAAAAATAAGAGGCACAAAAAAATGCAGCCAGCTCACCTGCTTACTGCTAGCATTCAGGATGAAAAGTTGGAAACGAGGCTTTGACTGTGTCTGATTTGGCATCTGTCATGAACCATATATTATACATCTTCAGCTTGCGAGCATGAGCCTAATAGCTTCTCATTTTTTTTTAAAGCTGTCCATTTTTTGTCGGAAACTTCGGAGCAGCGGTTTCTTAATTTGGGGATAGTTGACAAATTTTTCCAAGCCTGCCCTTTGATTCTGCAGGGCTCAATCGGTCTGAGCTAGCCTCTTCCTCTTTCCATAACCTTTCCTCTTTGTCACCCTCTTGACTTGCTTATGTGCTGCACAACCAGTTTGACACCATTGAGCACTGTTGCCCACAAGTTCTGGCACTATAGTTGACTCGTTAGGAGGATCTTAATAATAGCCTGAATAACCTTCAGCTCATCTTGCTTCCCGGCAGTTAATACTGTCCTTGTTTGCATTTAATTGTAGTGACGACCTGGCTTTTTCCATTTTTTGTGTCTTCAGCCGAACTTGCTTGTGCACAAGGTTGAAGGTGGTTGAGGGAGGACATGGGATAATAGAACATAGACTCCTGGGTGACAGAACAAGGGTTGACTGCCAAATGCCTTGAAAGTAAATAGGTGCAGGAAGTAATGGACAAAAATTACCTTAAATCTGACAGTTCGATGAAACACAAGAAACAAACCACAAACTCACTTGCCTTTGCTGTAACAGGGATACACAAATGAAGGAGATTGCTGTAACAGTGGTGATATGCCAGTACAGTTTCTGTTGACTTCTCGGTTCTGTGGCAGATGTTTCGTCTTGCTAAACTAAACTGATAATTTTGTATGTCTGCGTCTGTGTTCCCTTTAGAGGTATTTCCTTGAAAGCAGAAGGGGCAGGCTTCTTGCTAAGAGTTCAGTGGGGTATTTTTAAGGGGGGTGGGTGATTTCAGTCAAAGGCACAAGACTGAAGGAAAGTGTCTATGTAATAACACTTTTTTGGTTGATGTCAAAATAAAGTGTGCAGTAAAGATTTGAACCCTTGTTTAATTCAGACTTTAGGCCACTATTTTTTTGTGTGCCAGTCGGCAGTTTTTGTTGCTATCATGGATTTTGAAAACCCAGATAAAGTATATGATGGTGATATAGTAAAGTGCCTGATATCACAAGGAGTTGGGAATGATTTCACTTCACAAAAGTCAAATTTAGTCATTTTTGTGTATTGCACTTACAGAATTTCAACCTTTAGACAAGCTCAATTTTATTCTGTTATTTGTTATTTAGCATGCTTGTGTACATTATTTCCTCTACAATTTGCATCTTTTTGTCCAAGATATCGAGGTATCAGCTTGCAGGTGCCATGCTGGTGCATGTTTAACCAGTATGCCTTTTAGAAGTATAGAATGTAGTACCTTTTGCTCTGGTATTCATGTCCTCTTTATTGTGGGGTCTTTTTTTTGGCCTGTGGGTAAGCTTGTGGACAAACTGTGGAAAATTATATGCTGGCTATTTTTCTTTTGATGTGTACTATGCCTGAGCACACTGTACTGTTTAAAATTTAGAAAAAGGCCGGCAGCCAGGATGTAGCAAGTTAAGAATTTAGATTTAAATTGCATTACAATGGCATGAAATTACACAGCAGAACTCTGGCTCCGCGAAGGATTGGGACGAGCCTTCTCCGTCTTAAGACTATTAGTTACCATTTAGAAACAGAGTTTGGTCATCAGAATTAAAGTTGGGTTTCAAAATTTAAACAGGTGGTTGTGATCACTGAAGAGCATCTTGAAGGAAAATCCCACCTTTCTAGGTTCAGATGATGGTTTTAAAAATCATTTGGCTAGGGTTAAGAAATTTTTATGACATCTTGCACTCTTACACGGTCATCGGAGGCTTTCAAGCGTCTTCCTTTCTTTCAAGCCAACAGCCTACTTATACATTGCCTTGTATATTTCTTACTACTGGCATAGCAGATTCTGCACTGGAGAGTTTAACTGCTAAAACTATTTGATAAATTATTATCCCTATATAATAACAAACTACATCGCCTTTTTAGAGGGCTGAATGAATTATCATAAGCTGAATGGAAGTGATGTTCTTCATTAGGCAGAAGTTAATGGTCTCACCCACATTCTTAATGGGGCTTATCTTTACAAGTAATGCTGTGTGATTTAGATTGATAATATTTCTGCCAACAGACACGCTGAGCATGGGTGGAGGCCTGATGTCCAGAAAATATTACTTTCAACTTGTTTCGGCTGCCACGTCGCCCGACAACTCGGGGATCCTGGTGAGGACATTTACTCGACCAATGCCAGACTATTTCCTAGGTTCTAACTGAACCATCTCATATAATTGAGGAAATGAAGTTGTATTCACTAGCTTGAATCTAGAATCAATTTTGTTTGCACTTTGTAGATGTAAAGACCTATTAGTTTTTGTTTAATTCTACAGGAATTAGTTGTATAGTCTTAAAAACAACTAGTAAATTGTTTTTTTGTTTTGTTTACTTGTTGGGAATTGTATGTGCTATTTTTATATAAAACAGCTTGCTATTGGAATGACATGCCTGTTGAGATGAAAGGTGCATGTGATCACTGAGACAGCTAGTAAGTAGTAGGCATATGCAAATAGTGTATTTTGAGTTCGAAGTGAGTAATTACTTTGACGGAATATTTTTGAATAAAATATTGAATGGTTGCTCCACCTTTTCCCAAACCTTTCATTACGAAAATCATGCTGGATCTGTTAAGGTTCCTGAGCTTCCTGTTGTCCACTGCTAAGCGGAGTTAATTTTAATCTGCTTATTGACTGTGGCATTGAAAAGTCCAAGGCCCGCATAAAGGGTGGCAAGTAAATAATGGATTTAACATAAAGTTAAGCATAATTGAGGGGATTTATAATTTTTTTTTTCTAGACCTAAATATTATTCCTATATTCTTGGAAGAAAAAAAACAAGCACAATCAGCGATGTAAGCATTTTTACTGCTATACTCTGTTGCAGGTTAAGAAAAGTAGGACAAGCTCCATTAAAAAAGCCCGCTGCACTTTCCATTAGCGAGCAAATGCTGGAGAGGGGGCGAGAGAGGAGGTGAGTCCACTTGCCCCCTCCCCAGCATTCACTGGCTAAAGTGGAAAGAGTGGAGGGCTTTCGTGGAAGGAGTTGGTCCTGCTTTCACTAACCTGCAACAAGGTAGGGTATAAGTAGATTTCGACACCCACCAAGTTCCAGTTTTTTTTTCTAAATACGGCAAAGATGCCTTTCTTTTAAGCATGTAGCTGCGCTCTTGCAAAGCACAAGATACACAAGATTGTGGTGTCTGCTTTGCTGGTATTGCTTCATCGCAGTGCACCAGTGTTCGGTTAGAAGCGCGCTCAATGGGGCTACAACCCGCCGTGATTGCAACCTTGCCAACGCTTTGAAAAGTGGGAATATTACAGTTCATCTGTAATATTCCTACTTTATATACCGGGTGTTCGTTTTTAATTCGAACAGATTTATTTAAAAAAATCCGTAAAAGATGGAATGATACGGTTTGTGCAGGTGAGTTATACGGCCAGGGGGACATTTTATAGGGGGCTAATCGTAACGATCAGTTGGCTAATTAATTAAAATTCGTTAACTTTTTAATTAATGAAAATAGACATATGGTTCCAATTAGAAACTTGCACATCGTCACCGAAAACCACTAAATCAGTCATTTTCAGAAAGACTTTGAGCGCGTGAGAAGCGTAGTAGTGCACTAAAGTTACGACTCGTGGAGCAGGTACAAGGCTGGGGCTAGATAAGAGACGGAAAAATCGCGCGGGCGCCTTACCGCAACCGCTAGCTTTGTACCTGCTCCACGAGTGGTAACTTTAGTGCACTACTACGCTTCTCACGCGCTCAGTCTTTCTGAAAATGACTGATTTAGTGGTTTTCGGTGACGCTGTGCAAGTTTCTAATTGGAACCATATGTCTATTTTCATTAATTAAAAAGTTAATTAATGAATTTTAATTAATTAGCCAAATGATCGTTACGCTTAGCCCCCTATAATATGTCCCCCTGGCCGTATAACTCACCTGCACAAACCGTATCAGTGCATCTTTTTACGGATATGTTTAAATAAATCTGTTCGAATTAAAAACGAACACCCGGTACATCTGCATTACAGTTCATCTTTTAAAGCGAAGCTTGTTCTATGGGCTGATCAACTCTGTTTTATATTCTCTAAGGTTTCTCTGGTAATTGTGAAACAGGGTGCCTACATATACTATCTAGCAAAAAATATTTTGTCTAATATCTAACGTGCTGAAGGACATAATTTTGCTTGTAGTCTAAATATTTTAGATTAAAGGTTTTTAGTTGTGGAGGTTTAGCAATATATTTTGACATACACAGGGTTCTGGAAATGTGGATGGGAAAAACTACCATATTTACTTTAAAACAGGTCAACCTTTCCATGCAAAAGCCCATATGTCTACTTACCTGTTGAACACGAAGCGCCGATCATGGCAATTTACGGAAGGATCTACATGAATGGCAAAGCAAGGATATTGTGACAGCCATGTGCTTATAACCCCAATACAGATTGCATTTTAGATGGTAAACATCTGTTGCTGCCTTATTCCTTGCTATCATCATTTTGTTGATCACAACAATTGGCTCTCTGAGTACTCTACCAAAAAGTAGATGTGCAGGCTTTGTCCAAAAGATGACCTACATTTGAGTAAATTAGTCACCTGAATTTGAATAATGATATTAATATTAAATATAAAGTAAGAAAGGTGGCACATTGATTGGTTGGCAATTTGCATATGAAATTGTTGTCTGAGGAAGGTTTCAGTTCTTGCTAGAGAGCATCTGTAGGACTTTTCCACCTCATGGTGTTTAGTAACATTGCTTATGATCAGCTTTATAAATAAGTATGAGTTGTACTTGATAAAAAGTATTTTAAGCTAGACTACTAAATGCTGCTCTTTTAAAGGACAGGTCGGTTGCCACGTAGCTCACAAAGTTTTAAGATACATAATCATAGAGCATGGGAAATCCATGTCTGCTTGTAAACTGCTATATAGTTTTAGATACATAGTTTCAGGTTGTGTTCTCCTTTGTGGATGTTTGTAGTACCATGCTTCCTAGAATTAAATTCTCTTCAGCAAATCAGATGAAGATTGTTGGGTATTTTTTTTTTTTAATTTCAGCCTACATATTTATTGATTGGATATGGTCTTACTTATAAGATGTCCATGCACAATAAAAAGTAAATTCAATAGATATAAAAAAATGTTTTTCCTTTTTGTGTTTCTATTTTTCTTTAAATTTCTACAGTTAGTGCGACATTATAATAGCATTGGTTGTCTATGGTTGCAGAAATAAAGACATGATAATCATATTCTTTTGTTTTATGCTGTCTTTGGGCACTTTAAAAACAGAATGGCCAATCAAGAGTAGATTAAATCATTGGTAAAATATTTTTTGTTTTTATTTGTAATTAATGTATTTATTTAGTCTAGCTATAGCTATGCTGTGTAAGGAGCTTTTTGTTTTATTTTTGGTTTGATCTTCAGTCAAATGACATATATGGGATTGTCAAGCAACAGTCGGGAAGCACAAATACGAGTCAACCCGAATCGAGGATGTGCTTGCCATCATTACTACAACAGGTAAGAAATTTGATTCTGCAATTTTTTTTTTTTTTTTTTTTTTATTAGGGGGAGAATGTTGCCTTTTATCTGACTTGCTGGCAGTTTCCAGCAACTGGTTTGAAAAAGTTTTGTGTAAGAACCAAATGTAAATGATGAAGTTTAGGGAATGGTGGCAAGCTGGTGGAGATATCTCTTTTTACATAAATAAGGGTTCTTAAAGATCTCTTTTTGTGCCTCATCTCAGCTTCAAGGTGTTTTGCAGAGGTTCAGGATTCCTGAGTCTTGTTCTGGTTGTATCTTAATTTTACAAACTACAGTCTAAGCTCGTTATGGCAGACCTTGATTTTGACCAAGATTTCGGTCTGTTGTAAGAGGAGTATGCTGTTTGCAGATATGAAGTTAAGAGGAGACATAAACCAAAATTTCAATTTTTTTTTTTTTTTAGTTTTTTTTTTTTAATTTGTGCTTTTCAGTTTTAGAAATTAATTATACACCCTCACACTAAATTTGGTAACCTTACACCAAATAGTTTCGTTGATATAATAAAACATTTTCAAAACATTGTGAGGCACAAACAAAGTAAAGGAGTTCAATGTTCAAATGCATTTTTCTCAGTTACACTTTTTGCTGCAAATTTCATATGAAGGAATCTTTTGTTCAAAGGTAAAAGTATTCTGACACCACAACCAAGATGTTTCTGAACTGAAATTTACTGGGGAATTGGGCTATCTAATTTATTTTGTTATTAGATGAAGTGCTCCTTGAGAAAGAACTATGTTTTCAGAAATGGACATTAGGGCAGATATGAATCTCCTATTTTGAGGTAATGACTCGTCTCGAAATATTTACATTTTAGTTATTAAAAACTAGATAGCGCGAAGTCTCTCATCCCCCACTTTATATTCAAGCAGTTAAAATGGTGCTTAATAGCTTCATCTGCATATTATAGATTTCTTAACAAAGAGTGAAATATCATTCTTATGCAGGTATGTAAAATTGTCTTAGAGAGCTGAAAATTTGCACAATACGCCTACATCTTTTGTTAAATCTCCTCTGCAAATTTCATTCCAATCACTTGAGTTGTTCAGAAGTTTAATCTCTAGCCAGTGTCCCCCCTTAAGTCAGTGGTATGTGGAGGAAAACCAAACAAACTTCACAAATCGGTATGTTATATCCAAATATCTGTTGTAACCAGGTCTGTTGTAATGAGTTTAGACTGTAAACGAAAATGCATTTCATTGACTGCAATTCATATTTATTTAAACAACAGTTTATTGTTTGCATGTGAAATGGTCAGTATTGATTGTGTATTGACTCAAGTTAGGTTACCTTTGTCTCACTGGTGTGTAGAAACGGTGCATGACTGTAGGTGTATGTAGCATGATTTCTCCACATGTAGAATCTCTATCGCAAAATCTTTATTTTATTAGCCCTGCACTTCTAAAACCCTACAATCAAAGAAGTTGTTTCACATTTCCCACATGTTGGAAGTGCCATCCTCACTATCCCCTTCCGACAAATCTGCCATGCTGATTAGAATTGTTCTATGTCTTAACAACCTGATTGCCTTGGGGTCTAGAGTGGTTGGGTGAAATGAAGCGAACAATAAGGTTAACTTGAGCCTGGAAAAACCTTGAAATGGCCTTCAAGTGGTCAATTGCAGTCTGCCTAAGCTGCATTTTATTTGAACCATGTTTGCCTAAACAGGTCTTAGTTTCCATATGTGTAGTTGAGACACGGAAGGGGATAAAGATGTGCTAGGTTATAAATATTCCTTATGATGCCATTGTAAATAGGTTTTATAAATAAATGGGTCTGATGGTATGCTGGGATCCACTTTCGAATATTTTACCGCTTGCATAAGTGCAAGGCATCAATGGGCGAGGCATTGGCATGCCTCGCATGCCAATGCGAGGCAACGTTGTGCAACGTAAACATCGTGGGGCAACTTAAAAATCAACTCGCCCGTGAACTACTAGGAGCCATAGCCATCGAAGAAAAAGGCGAGAACTGTGTTAGTGCCCCTTCCGTGGCACTACATAACTCGGAGAATATTTTCCTGTGGAGTGATATGAGTTCCAGGCAAAGGTAGAAGAAGAGGAAGATTGCTTAAAGAAGAAAAAAGAAAAGGGATGAGAACATTCCGACAGCAGAAAGGTCAATGCGTTAAAAAGAAATTCCGAATTAAGTGTAAAGAAAAAAAAAAAAACCTAAATCAAGTGTAAAGAATTAAAAAATCTTAAGTTAGTGTAAAGAAAAAGAAAACCGAAATCAAGGATTAGAAGAAAAGGAAAAAGAGGCATTATTAAATGTTGCTAGTCCAGTGGTGTGAATGTTATATTTTTTTCTCTCTGTGTTTTTCATGTTCAGCTGGCCCCATTCACAAGTCTAATTAATTTAAGGGGTCTAATGAGGAATTTTGTTTTTGATTGTTTGTCATCTGTGGTTTGGTTTATAGTATATATTCACTTCATGGGCATCCTCAGATGTTCATTAAGTGGTTAAAATGAAGTGAATGGGATAGGTCTCTACCCTAGACGGTTTTGAAGCAAACTTGGTCTTTTTGTTTGTATCAGAGGGAATGTGGCATGCCCTGTGGGGGAACATTTTCAAGAGGAGACAGGTGCAGAATCGGCTCAAGGTGAGTTGCATTTAATCTGCATGTCCACCTTAATTTGGAATATTACATTTAGTTTTCATGTACTCGGCTTTAGAGGTATGTTTGGAAATTTGTTGGAAAAGGAGCTGTTTGTGTCTGCAGCATGTCAACTAAGGCATGCACTTTATCACCACAAGCTTTGGTCTTGCAGGTACAATCCAGCATTGTTACACGGAGTTCGGTTTATGCAGGTTGATGTGGTATGGTTAAATCTGACCAAAACATTTTTAAAGCTGCTCAGTCAGAATGCAAGCAACTGCTAGTCAGTTTGCTTGTTAGCCGACAGGGTGTGCACCAGATTCATTAATTGAACTGAATTTTAAGTGACTTTTAATTATGGTTCTTTTCTGCTTACTAAGAACTGTCTTGTCTTTGATTCATTAAAAAAAAATGTACTGCTCATTTATTGTTTTACAACAATGACAGTAGCCTGTGTTAAACTTTTTCTATGTTTAGATTGCTACCAAACTACAAAATGCACACCTTGAATTACCCAAGTAAAGCTTTTTGTGGAACCTTCGCTGGAAATGGTGAGGTGTTCATGACAGCATGCCAGGGTAAGTACTGGGAACACATTGCATTCATGGATTTTATGTAGGGCCAATGTTTTGCCCAATTTCTTGAGTTTTTTCTTGGCTAAGGAAAGTTTTTGAAGACCATCTGCTTTGAAAGGTTGTTGTCCGGCCATGAAAGTCGATATGCTCGAGAGGAGTTGTTTGAAAACTTTAGTTATGTTTAGGGTTTCATATTTTAGTTTTTTTTTTTTTCTTCTTCTTTTCTTACAGCGAAGCTGTATATGACTCGTTGGTTCGGTCTTTTTTTCGTGTCCGTCATCGCGGACACCGTTCCTGGGCGCCTTATCTCTTATTATGTGGTTTTGACACTTGTTTCAATAAGAAAACCACAACGCAAGTGTCACAACCATGTGATAGATGATAAGCACGTAGCGCTCCCCAGCTCCCCAGCTCCCCGCATGCGTTTTTCGGTAAAGATTGCGGTTGCATAAGCTGCTGCAGCAACGGCAGGGTACGAAGTGTGGAGTGACGTCACAAGCCCCGCTAACAATGCGAAGCACGTAGCGCTCCCCTCATGCCTTTCTCGGTAAAGATTGCAGTTGCATAAGCTGCCGCAGCAATGTATGAAGTCTTTCATATATAAAAAAGTTTTAGTACAGTGCATTTATTTTTCCTTTGCCAATCATTTGGTATAGACCGTTTTGCTGTTTACAAACATGAACTGCCGCTTACGTCCCAAGCGACTTCCGGTCGCACCGTCTTTGCAAGCCTGTTGAGCTGGCTTATTTCACCGGTGCTAGAAACCATAAATGCTACACGGACAGCAAAGTTGGAGATTTAACGAGGGCCTTCAGCTGTACAATATTACATCTTGGAGGAGGCAAGTTGGTTTACTAGAACACTCGAAACATCTTAACAGATCTCGCACTCCTTCTTTCTTTTGGCATTCACCTGGAGAATTGGTGGTTCAACATTTCATCTACATTTCAAGCAGTGGTGTTAAGGTGGCCTTTGTTCATTCTTTTTATAAACCGGTAGTTCTCTGGGACGTCAAAGATTGGAGCACCACCTGGTGGTGTTTGCCACCAAAAGGGTCTATAGTGCAGTGGGCAATTATTGCAGGTGATACCACAGCTTCGCTGTGCAACCACCTTCACAGCATGGATTAGAGCCTTAATTTTTTTCAGGGTTTATTTTTTCTTCGAATTCGGTGTTTTTCGGTGTCTATTTTCAATGTTGCACAAAAATTTGGCTTTTATCGGGGAATTTGTTAATGATAACAAAATGCGGCCTTAGGATTGTCCAAACACCAGGGAAGATGCGTGTGGCTCGATTACTCGGTACAGGTAAGAGAAAGAAATGAATGGGGGCGTTGTTCCACATCACCACAATATAAAGCTGTAGGTACAGATTTCTTCCCATGAAGCTTGGGTTTTTGCATTCAAGGACGGGTTCATACGGGGTTTTTCGGTTTTTCCCGATTCTTGTCAAACTGACTCTGACATTATTTTTCAGGGTTCATTGGTATACACTTTTCCAAAAATCGCTCCTAGGCCGCCGCCATGCTGCTGGTGCTGATGCGGTTGGTGCGACTCTCGCGCCTTCTATCAGCTAGACATTTTCTGCCCCTCTATGGGACTGTGAAGACCCGCTCAGCGTAGTTCTCTACCTACGTTTTTGCGGTTTTGCATTCGACGTTTCCTCGCCCCTCTTGAAAGTTTCCACTTAATTTTTTTTATCCGTGCTGCGTACCCTTTTAGTGTTATCTTCCATTGTGAGAAATAAGGCTGGTAAGTGCCTGCCATTCAAGTTTTTCTGCTCGACATTCACGGGAAACGAAGGAGGTGAAGGACGTCGAACGACCCTCGACGTGATTTTGCGAACATTGTTCTCCCCCCTCCCAGAGATAATCCGCGTAGAATCCTCAGTCATCTTCAAAAATAGTTGTCCGGGTTGGGGTAAGAAACGGGTCAGTCGCGTTTGTTTCTTTGCCTTGTTGCGGTTGTGAAAAAAAGGAAACTCCCCAAAACGTGCCCCAAAACGCAGTCATCTCGGATTCCGTCCGATCGTAAATATCTAACTGTCGTCGACTGTGACTGTGTTATTTGAGATCTTTCTCAAATAAATTCTTTTCGGATAACGCTGCATCGTGTGGTACGTACAATATATTGTTCGAATGTTAACACTTCCTCAATTGTATGTCCGTGTCCTGTCTATTGGTAAACTCGTGATTTGTGAGCATGAAAAATGCGTGCCTTTCGGCCCTCTTCTGTTGCAATTTATTTTTGACAGCGAATCGCTTTGTCGTTTCACATGCGGAGAATCCCGCGGCGCCGTCAAACCTTATCGTAAGAAAAAAACAAATAACTAGAACCATACTTTCCAGTTGCATTCGTTCTGTCGCGCGCGTACCCAACAAAAATAGTTTACAGTTGTTTTTTTTTTGTTTTTTTTGTTTTTTTTTTAAATGTGGTACAATGCTTTCTCAATGTCCTCGGGAAAATACATGTACCATGAAACACAACATATAGCGGGAAAAGACGAGAATTTAGCCGCCAGCAGCGTTTGAAACTGCGCCTACGCAGACTGCGCCTATTGAAATCACAGTCCACTCGGTTAGGGTTAGGAGGGACGCCGGTGAGAGTCTAGCCTCAAACTCGGTGACTGGGCTCGAAAACGGTGTGTGGCCTCTGGGGTCGAGTGTTTTTTTGGAAAGGTGTATATATATGTTGAAAACACGGAACCCTAGTCATGTTCACTGTTCTGTCGACGTGATAATAGCACACAATGAATATGACTTTCATTACTTTATAGCAGGGGTTGGCAACTAGCGGCCAGGCAAGGCAATATTATGCAGCCTCGAGAATGTCACCAAAAATGACCCCCCCCTCTTCCCCACCTCCACCCACCCCAGTACTACCCCCAAACACACTCCAGGACAAGAGGTATAATTGGGCATATTAACCCTGAAGAAGTTGAAGAGATTTGCCAGATGGAGTTTGCTGATCAACTGATTTTCAAACATACAATAAGCTGAAGAATGAATTTTTTGCAGTGTACGATTCCGCTGGCCTCCCTGAAATAAAGTTTTCAAATCTATGATATCTCACAGCGGCCTTGATTGAAGTGTTAGCTACTGAACGTACATATCTGTGAACATAGCTTTTAAGGTGAAGTCTATCAAATCAAATGTGGGTCTTTGAATGACAGATGAGCACCTCCAAAATGTTTTGCGGCTCTCAGTTAAGAGTTTTAATGTGAATATGGTTGGTACCCTGGCCAGCAATATTGAACACCCAAAATCTTACTGTGATGGAGCTTGGGAAATCTTAAAGAGAATGTCTTTGCATATCACTGAGAATGTGACAGTTTCTCATCTTTTATTTTTATAAGCTAATTCCTCTGCCCTCCCTCTCCCTCCTCCCTCCTCCTCCTCCTTCTAACTCTCTTTCTTTATCCGGCCCACTCCATCTTTGTTTTGCTGTAGTTTGGCCCACTGCATCGAAAAGTTGCCAACCCCTGCTTTATAGGGTGGAAGGTAGAGGTAAAGGATAGTTTATTCAGGGGACAGAAATGTGAGAGAGCATATTTACCCTTTTAGAACATATAAACTTGATAAGTGCCGCACCTTGACATGACGTCCTAAGTTCTGCAAAGACAATGCCTAGGGCAATTGTTGTGAAGTATATGGGAACAGATCGTTAGTCTACATACTATAGGGGGATACTTAGACTAACAAGGTGTATAGAGCAATAATAATTAAGATTATTATGCACTGGACAGTATCAGTGTTTTAGATATCATCTTAGTGACACTGAATTTTATCCTATTAATAGCTGTCAATGTCAAAGGAGAATAAAGGACCATGTGCTGTTTTCATTGCAGATTGCATGATTCGTATCTATGATACCAAGCAAGCAACCTTCAGAGAGGTCAAGTCAATCTCTGCTCGTGATGTAGGGTGGAGCATCTTGGATATGGCTGTCAGGTCAGAGCGCTCTTTTTTCTTGGTTTATCTAGATGTCCAACATGCCTGCACTTGAAGAGTGAAAAACATGGTCCCTTTGATTATTTACTGATCTTTGGTTCTGCCACACTTCTAGGTTATTTGAGCCGGTATATCATCTTACACTGTTGAGCTAATGGTGTCTACTGTCAAGACCGGTTACAACGAAGTCAACGGGAATCGGAAATCACTTCGCTATATCCGCTATTTCGTTATAACTGACTTCGGTTATAACGAAGTGCGGAAGGGAATGGGAAATCGTGATCGCTTCGCTGTAGCCGCTATTTCGTTATAAACGACTTCCTTATAACCGGTCTCGACAGTACACCTTAACCCCTCACCTACTAATAATGAGTGTTACTCGTGCCACCCCTTATGGATCATAAAGCTCGACCACAAGTGTGACTCGCGTTTCAGTTTTGGCACTTGTTTAGCGCACTCTCTGGCAGATGGCAAGAACTACCCCTGTTGCTCCATTTACCTTGGGCAGTTTGCTCGTTTGTTTTGCTGTTTGACAGAAAGAATGCTCCAGTTAGCCAAGGAAAAAAAAAAAAGCAGTTGCTCGTGAGCGTTCACGCTGAAACAACATGGCTTTGGTGCGGATGTCCGCTTTAGCCAGCAAAGATAGAAAACCCTTTTTTTGAAAGGGATATACCGTATTTACTCGCAGAATGAACGTACTTTTTTTTCCCGAAAAATCGATGCAAAGTTAAGGGGGGTTCATTACGCGAAGTAAAATTTTTGTGTCCGTAGTTACTCGCATAATGAACGGACCTTTTATCTTGAAAAATCGAAGTAACTTCTTATCTCTTTGCGCGCGGCGCCCGACCCTGTAACCAAACTAAACTGTGCAAAAGAAAAAAAAAAAAAAAACTCTTGTTTTGTTTTTTCTCTTATTTCCTGTTGTTGTTTTTTTTGCCGCCTTTCGCAAGCTGTTTTGTTTGCTTAGGCGAAGGCTCCCCGCTTATCTTTCTTATGTCCTTGCGCGCGGCCCCCCGTAACCAAACTGCGCTGTGCAAAAAAAAAAATAAATAAAAAAAAAAGCTCCTCTTTTTCTTCTTTTTTTCAGTTTGGTGGGTTGTTTTCTTTTTTTTTTTCTTTTTGCCGCCTTTCGCAAGCTGTTTCGTTTGTTAAGAGGGCTTCTCCGCTCCTCCTCCTTACCTCCTTGCTCGCGGCGCGCGACCCCCCGTAACCAAACTGCGCAGTGCAAAAAAGAAAAAAAGCTTTTTGTTTTTGTTTTTTTAGTTCTGTGGTTTGTTTTTTTGTTTTTTTCTTGCCGCCTTTCGCAAGCTGTTTCGAGCGCTTCTCTTTCTTACCTCCTTGCGCGCGGCGGGGCGCGAACCCAAAGTCCAGACTGGGCTGTGCAAAAAAAAAAAAAAAAAAAGCTCCTCTCCATGTTTTTTTTTCCTTGCTTCCGTTGGATCTTTGCTAGTTTTTTTTAACGCCTTTTGCAAGGCGTTTTGTTCGTCCATGCTGCCCATGCATTCGCGACCTCGCTGCACCAGGATAGAAAAGTGCGTTCATTTCGCGCGCGTGGGGGGAGGGGGTCAAAATTTTGACGTCCGAGTTGGGGGTGCGTTTATTACGCGAGTGAAAAAAAAAAGTCGAAATTTTGAGAGCCGACTTGGGGGGTGCGTTCATTACGCGAGTGCGTTCATTGTGCGAGTAAATACGGTATGCTCAGGCATATCTGACTACGAATCGTTTGGCCTTTCCGATTTCTAGGAATCGGACGATAGTTTGATGGGGAGTTACGGGAGTGATGAAAACAATGGGAATCCTGCAAGGATTCTAACTTTGGTGTCTGCATGTCAGTGGGACTCTGACCAGAAGTCCTGATTTAGGGCAAGATAGGACACCTGGAAGCCAAGGAAAAGTTTCTATCTTATTGTAATGCAAATTGCCTGTTTAAAATAAAATTTTGCTGTGTTCCTTGGAGAAAAAAAAAACGAGTAGGCAAGGGGTTAAACAAGAGAACCCTCAGCTTCCTTAGTCTTTTCATAAAAATATAAAGAAAGCAAAAATTGTATATGTAGCTACTAAACTGTGGCCTAAAAATAGTTCATAGTTTTTGTAAGCATATAGAGGGTGATTTTTTCTTTTTTTTAGCTGCACCAGATTTTTGAATAAGGGGGGAAAAGTTATAGAAATGTGGTTTTCACCGTGTGTTTATATGGCTCGGCAGTCATTAGGTAAGAATATAACCATCACTATTATCAGGCTAATTAACTCAAATTTGTTAATTAACTTTTTAAATTACTGTAATTAGGATATATGTTTATATTACAAACTTTGGGGCAGTCATATGCCAAGCCCCTGTTACAACATTCATATGACTCCTTCCCCCTAAATTTAAAAATTTTGTGCAGCTAAAAAAAATACTCTTTATAGTGAACCATGGAGTGTGATAGTGAAAGGTCAGTTTGTATTCAGATCAGATGCATTATTTCTCACTTATGAAGAGAATCTGGCTTGTGTATAGAAATTGCTCACTTTCCCATAATATATGGATAAATATGATTAATATGGATAAATCCAATAAAACCTGAAATACACTTGCAGGTAAGAATATTGGGGATTTAAAAAATAAACTCTGAAAAACACCCCTCGATTCTCCTCAGGAACAAATTCTAAGCGCAGACCCCTAGTCACAAGTAATAAGTTACTCCTTAAGACTGCATCAAATGAGCCTTTAAATTACATACCTACCATAGAATACCGCGCATCCGCCCATTTTACACTAAGCACCCATTCCCAAATTTGTGAGATCCGAGAAAATATGCACCATACATTAAAATGTAAAATTGATGACCGGGCAAGTGCCCATCCCACATTTTTTTTGCGATTATCTCTAAATTTTGAGTGGGCGCTTGCCCGGTATTTTACGGTATGTTAAAAAAAGTATTTTTGTTTGCTGGCAACAAATGTTCCTTCAATTGAATTTTAAAAAAAGGGGGGGGGGGGGGGTGCTTTTTGCTGACAGAATGAGAAGCAGTATAAATTTTGCTTTTGATTTCAAGTTCTACATTTTACTCGTTTTGCAATAATAATTGAAAAATTCAAGAAAAGATTTTAAGAAGTCTCATATCAAGCTCTCACAATATGTGCACAAAGTAAATGTGCAATGTAACCACATGCAGTGAATGCAGGAATGTTGCGGAATGACCGTAGCGGCATACACATGCATTTCAGGTCATTCCTGTACTTCTTCAACCTGCCCCTATGCAGTAAGACATGTCGCAGGATATTTTTAGCTGGATGTGCAAGTCGTGGCTTTTAACATTTGCTCTTTTGTTTTTATAGTCCCAATGGTGCGCACTTCGTCTACTCCAGTTGGTCAGAGTACTGTAAGTGGATTGATATTTGCTGATATCTCATACCTATTTGTTCTGAATAAGTATGATTTTGACTAACTTTGGTCACTTTTAAGAAGCTGAACTTTCTTAAAAAAAAAAAATGTAGTCGGAGAGGAATTTTAGCATGTTGCGAATTCGTATAGGACAACCACTTGCACTCGAAATATGAGCAAATTTGAAAATGAATGAAAAACAACCTGTCCGATGCTGCCGGCCTTGATGTCATAAGTACTCCATGCATCAAATTAAAAAAAAATAATTTGGATACTGTAATTCGGGAGGCTAAATCCACACGATTCAAGCATTTTTCTCAAATAGTCCAGGTTTTCTGTTAGAATGTGCAAGTCCAGGTTTTCTGTAAGAAGGTGCGTAGCCTTGGGGTGGACTTAACTCGTATAAGTAGTTTGAGTGAATTCAATTTTTAACTAGTAAATATAAAGGAATCATTTCAATTAGAAACTCTTGGGGAATCATTAAAAACACTAAATAATTTACATTCAGAAATATTTGAGGCATATGCAGTGTTCAGTTATATTTCGAAGAACAACGAAGTTTAGCAGCACAGCGTGGTCTTTATGTCCTAATGGCTATTGATGGAACGATGCAGTTAATATGAAACTGAAATCTTACATGCATATTCACATTAAGATTTTTTTAGAATGTGGTAAACAAAGTTTTCCAAAAGTTACTTGGTGCTTTTTGAATGATGCATGTCAATTTTCAGATTGAAACCACACATTTATTTATACTAATCAAAATGTTAATACCTTGAAACCTGTTAAACTCTTCATTATCCTAAACGTTATCTGCATAGGATGACCATCCTCATAGTAAAAAACAAGACAAAAAAAAAAAAAAAGAAGCTCTGCTTTTTTTTTTGTTTTGCTTTTGTTGGCTGACATAAACATAAACACACACATTTTTCAAGAGTTCTTCGTTGAGAACCCTTGTACTTTTCTTTTTCATTCTTTAACAATGGGGAAGAAATGTTGCCAGCCGAACCACTTAAAATTAAATAATATAGAAGGGTCTTCAGCATACACATTAATGTGAACAAAATGTATGTTTCATAGTATGTTTATTTTTATAGCATTACGTCTGTAACAAGTAAACATTCTTTCGGTTGTCTTCCATTCACTTAATACTGATTTTGCAACTACTGTGCATGTTCCCACGAAAGCGGGACATGAGGCTCTGTTAGACAAAAAAGATGGGACTGCAGAAATGAACTTCTAATACTGTCCCGGCCAAAACAGGACATCTGGTCACCCTATATCTGCACCTCTCTAAATAGACCTCTTGACTGCGACATTCTTTTTTCTGTGCAATGCATACATTTCTGCAGGAATATTTTTGCTTGCGTTCTGTGAAAGGCCTCATATGCTTGTAACTAATTCCCCAAGCCACAACTTGTCTGTTTTGGGGTGTATTTTTAATTTTGAGCACTTTTTGGTGTTTTATTTTTGGTCATTTTTCTTTTCCAGTACATTTATGTAACGTGTTCGGAGATGATGAGGTCCATGAGGCACTGCCACTTTGCCCTGATGATCGTAGGTTTTGCATATTTGCATTACAATTTTCTTGTGATGGCAATGACATTCTGGGCGGGTAAGTCTTCCTCATATTTTATATAAAACAAAGAATTTGTGTACTTTTGAGCACTAGAGCTTGGGGGAATGTCAAGAATTCAATTTTTATTTATAGTTCAGAAGATTGAATGAAGGTTCCTATATCAGGAAATATGCCCATCTCTCATGACATATAATAGTCTGTCTGAAAGGTTATTGTTGCATTTAACCCTTAACAGCCATAAACTATTTGCAGGTGCATAGGATAAAATCTGTCTGAAAGATTATTGTTTCGTTTTATCGTAAACGGCCATTATGTTTAACTATAATGCTTTGTACAGTTCGGGAAATGTTTTGGTGCTCTAAGCCCTGGAGATGTACATTTGCTCTCATAACTTTGCAGCATTGTGGCAGGCATAAGCTCTATACTTAGGATTGCCACTTTCCTGTGTGTTGCATGACTTACGAGCATTTGGCCCGACAAATATGCTGTAAGAAAAAGGGGGCTTGGTGCACCAATTTTCATAATCTAACTGCTATCACTCCAAAATTGTTTGTGACAGCCATTGCCCATGTCAAAGTATGCTCTCTATGAAGGAAGTTTGAGAACATACCTGCTTGTTTGTGCTAACTAAAGTTGCTATTCTTTTTTTTCTTCTGGTTTTGCTTTTTCAGGGCAAATGACTCATGCCTATATGTGTACGACCGAGAAATGCACCATCGTTCACTCCGGGTACTTGTCGTTCATTGATTCTATGATTGCGCATTGGTGAAAATGAACAGATAGTACCAAGAAAGGAATGTCAGAGACTCTTGTAATGCTTTTTGTACGTTTGTGGCATAGTGGAAAGAGCTATTTAAGCGAGTAGCTGGCAGGGAAGCCATTCTCACCCTCGCTTGCCTTTGGCTGGCAGTGAATTTATCTAAAATAGCAGCCAGGTGTAGACAATACTTAGTTTGGTTTTGTGACTGGCGCAAAAAGTAATTTGTGAAGCTCTTGTGTGAAGTAGTGAACTTTAAAAAGTTAATACTGCTGATTGATTGCTTTTCAGTTGTAGAAGGGCCACATAAATAATCCAATGAAATGGAGTATGATGAAACTTTTCACAAAGGTGTATTTATGTGATGCATTTATCATACTCGGATTTCGTGGGTGTAGGTTTCCAGAGCGAAATGCAAGCAAAAAAAAGTGTTATTCCTATAGAAAACAAATGTAAACAAACTTTCTGGTTAATCCTGCTATTCATAGGTAGCACTACCAAGTGTCCTCTCTAGATTGCATGATACTTGGGAAGCATTGCTAAATATCTCGTAAAACGAAACCTCAGACTTCATGGTGGTGTCCAGAAAAAATGGCACGCCTCTAAAAAAAAAAGAGTACATAATTGCCGTTGAGTGCAACACACTTGTGCAGTCATTCTTGTTGATTCTTGACTGTGATTTCGTGCATTTATGATGGAGGCGAAGTCTTTTCTGTGTACTTATGGCTTTGCATAACCTCAAACGAAAGTTCACAGATTAAGAAACGAGGTGTTCGCAGGGTGCCACGACATGTTAAACGACCCACCACCTCTCCAGGAGAGTCGGGAGTTGGAAAGCAGACGATACAAGAAAACATTGCTGTCGGGCTGTCAGCAACAATGTCTGCGTTGGATGTGGCTGTGCATCCCATTTTCATGTTTTTTTTTTCACTTTCTGTACTTACAAAAAGAAACTTCTCAAACAGGGAATCACTATTTGGAACAAATACTTGTCATGTTTCTTTAAAATGAACTCCCAAAAGCAGATCTGAGCATGCGTGGCACTATCTGTGAGAGGCAGCATCAACCAGGCAGTTTTTTCTTTTTTTTTTTCTGTGAGTCGGAAGGAATAACACATTCTCCTTTTCTTGCCTTTTGTTTCGGAAACTTGCACCCACAAAATTTGGTTATGATAAATATATCTATGGGAAACAGCGTAGAAAAGACTTGCAGCCTTTCCACACTGGTGAAGAAGAAAGACCAGCGAAGCTGTGCGCTCGTCCCGTGTGTTTCTTCTTCGTCCTCTTCTGTTTCGCGTGCTGTTTCCTACAATGAATTTCCACCAACTTGCCCTACTATCCATTCTTCTATGATAGCTGGAAAGGTTGCCGCCATCTATGTGCGACAGTGGCAACCAGACTGGTCTGGTTGCCGCCGTTGCTCATTGATGGCAGTAGCTGTCCAGAGTTTTGTGTAGTTTGTGTCGACATTTGTTTGGTACCGGACACGAAACTGGGTAAACTAGCCCTTAACAGCTTTGCTGTAATAAAACGATGAACCAAGGCAAAAGGGTCAAGACAAGCCACTCTGTCCCTCTTGCCTTGGTCCTTGTGTTATTTTAGCACTGTTTTCCTTAGCTATGAACCAGCTGGCCCAAATCACCACATTATTGCAATAAACACACCACCTAAAGACACCTTTGTGAAAAGTTTAGTTGCGCTTCATTCATAGACATACAGTGCGTTGCCTTTATAAGGAAGTCCTCGGGACCGGCAAAAGTTTTCTTAGTACAGGTAACTTCATTGTCGTGGTTGAGTGTTAAAAGTCGATCATGCGAAACCGAATTTGTGCTATCGTATATTGGCGCACCTGTGCGACATTGGAAGTGTTTTGGAAAAATGTGCAGCACCAAATGTATTATGAGCAACATCAGAAACGAGGTTTTGTACGTTGACAATTGACTTATCAAAAGGGGGAACGGAAGCTGAGTCTGCTAGTGCGTTGCAGCTCGGAGCACGTGGGGCAAAAGTTTTGCACTGCAGAATGCAGCTATATTGAGCTCAATTATGATTCCTTCTTTTTCTTAAAATATTTTTTCTAAATTAAAATTGTACCGTCACGCTTTCGTGTACTCACCACTGTGTGACATAATTTAAAGACACCAGCTAGCGGTCGTACCGCCAGTACCACCACTGGCAAAGTTTGTCATCTACAGCCGAGAAACCAAGCGTTCCTTGCTGCAGACTAATCTCCCGCTGTTCAAACTTCCACACATCAAACTTAACTGACTTATGAACATAAGAATTGCAACAGTCGTTAAACCATTGACATTGACCCTCCGATCATGTAGCGAATGAGAGGCGTTTGCCGACTGTGTGAATTTGGCCTCTTCTAAATTGGGCAGCAGCTTGCCACACCATGTGTCATTAGGAGGACGCTCTTGAAGCAGCACAGCAGGCATGGCAGCCACGGCATCACAGCAGCCCTACTCCTAGTAGCACGGCAGAATGGGCCACGCACGCGACAGCTGCAGCGAGGAGCGAGAATGGGGAGAGGCACACTATTGAACTGTTCGACTGAGCCCTTTTTCACATGTGTCCGGCACAAAGAGGGTAGCACATTATTCTGTATGGTTCTGCTGATTTTGCTTAGATTTTAGCATCATGGGTAGAATCACAGATCACGTTTCCTGGACCGCATATTATTGCTCCAAGGCGGAGCAATTTGGGACTCGGACCGAGCAAGATTAGAAATCTTGGGTCCCGATGAAGATTGGTGCATCGGTCGAACAATTGCCAAGACAGCATAAAAAAGTTGTGATTGTCCATGAAAATACTTTTTTCTTTCTTTATATATTCTCGTTCACATGATTCCTTTCAAATGCACCGACGTACGTGCAAAATAAAACGAAGGCGATCATTGCCCTACAGAGCGTTGAAAAAAAAAAAAAAATGTCTTGGAGCGGAGCGGCATATATTCAATCAACTGCATGAGCAAAACAAAAATATGCTCAAGCGCGTGGTGGAGGTGGCACCGCATCCACCGCCGCGGCGCTACGCATTTTCGGTTTTAGGTTTAAATAATATGTTAGTGTGCAACCTTGTGTCTAGATAGTGCTATGTTAATTTGTTGCTGCGTATAGGCTTTCTCCACAGCAACATATTCATGTATCACCATCTAGACACAAGGCTGCAAGCTAATAAATTATTTGAACCCAGAGCCGATAATGTATGGCGCAGTGACGGCGGAGGGGTGCAGTGGAGGCGGCGGCGGAGGCGGCTCAGCGGAGGTGGCATGGCGGCTGTGTCAACCATCGCCGCTACCGCAGTATTCCTGTTCTCTATGTGCGTCACTTGAGAGCGACAATTAGTGTAAAATAAATTACTTTTTACCCTTTTGCTTTGGGGGCTGTGCAATTTCTTCGTTTAACAGAAATGTTTGTTAAAAAGGAATTCGTTGTATTAGAAGGGGAAACACATTGAACACATAGGAGATTGGCCGGGACGTTGTTTTACTTCGTTAAACGGGCATTTTTTGTTGTAGAGGCGTTCGTTATAAAGGCGTTTGACTGTATTTGTATGGTCCTTTCTACAACTCGGTAGCTCTTGTGGACACCTTGTAAATATATTTGTGTGTGTTCAATACACATAGATCAGTATTTAGACAGGAAGTCAGTTAATCGAGAATTACTGTGTCTGGGGTGCTTCAGTCAAATTGAAGCTGTCATTTTTGTTCCTTCCGCATACCCAAGAAGACTGTAAATGAACCCCCAAGCTACTTGTGTTCTGAAGTTGAATAGAAAATGAAGCTTTTTACTGAATATTTTTATACTACATGTTAACCTTAAAGAGTAAACATTGCTTTTTTTGTTTTTTACATTTCTTCACTCTTTAGACATCTGAAGGGAAAATCAATTATACTCTCAACTTGATTATTAAAGATGGACTGAAGATTTTGTATTTTACGTTGAGGCTCCTTGCATTGAGAATAAAACAATCTAAAGGCTGCTGTTTCACAGTGATTAAGGTTTGTGCTGCACTTCGTTGTTCCCAGTACAAACCTCTGTTTTCACTCCTTCAGATCAGAGCTCACGACGGAGACGTGAACACTGTTGCCTTCGCTGACAAGACATCACAAATTTTGTTCAGTGGGGGAGACGACGGCCTATGCAAGGTAAACAATGTTGAAATACTAGTACCAACACTCCAGACTCAAATTAATCTAGTGCAGGGATTTGCAATATCATATTTAAAAAAAGAAGTGTACATATAGGCAGCCACTTTGACATCAAAGTAACAGCCTTCCGTATGGATTCCCAATTGTTGGGTTACAATTCTAGCTGAGCTGGCTAGACTTCTAGATCAGCTGCTAGTAGTAGCAATTGTTTGCTGGTTCATTGTTGTCATCTGAAAGTTCGACAGAGTAGCCAGCTTGCCAGCACTTATTCTGATTTACACTCTTGCGGGAAGTCATGTTGAGTAGACCATCACAATGCTACTGCATGGTGGTATGAACAAACTTTGGAATTATTGTATTCGGATAATAAAGAACCTTCTTAGATTGAACTTGTCAGGAGCAGGTCAGTTTTCAAAGCACTTTTTTGTGCACAACAACTAAAGTTTCCACTTTTCCATATCTACTAAAAAAAATATTGGTGTATGGCCTATTTCTTTATGCTTGCATGCAGATTGGTAGTTTTATTAATTCTGGAAGATTTGCGACATTCTAAAAGTTACAATTAGGGTTGCAAGTCTATATACAGCGTTTTTGTTTAAACTGGAAAAGGTAAAAAAAAAAAAAAAAAAAAAAGCCCCTTGAAATAAAGAAAGTATGTCTTTTGGGACAATACCTATTATTGGCTGCGTCGGATGTCAGGATCCGAATGTGACTTGGTTATTAGCGAACTTGCTGGCACATTAGTTTTTGCTGGCACATTTTAATCAGAGATTTGTATTGCAGCCTAATTTAAATAGGCCAGAGCAGTTGTTAGGCTTCACAAAACTACATTCTGCTCCATCTTATTCAGGGGGGGGACTTTAAGCTGTGAAAGGCCAGAGGTCCCAAAACTAAAATGTGCATGAGTGATAAAGGTCTTGCCCCGTAGTGACGTCAGTGACTGCTGTGGGAGTGGGTGGGGAATAGTGGCAAGCTGAACTGGCAGCTTCACAATATCTCTGGTTCACATGGTCATACGCTCGGGGTCAACTTTCTGTGGCATTTACAAAAAGAGGAGCAGTGCGCAGGCTTAGCTTTAATCAGCACTTAAGGTGTGTGAATGCACGCACTCCCATACTTTTGACTTCATTGCCACTGAAAGTTGTCCCTGAGTATAGAATAACATGTGTCACGCCCTGACATCCCTTCGAATGCGGCACTTTTGGCATCTGTTTTCTTTTGGTCTCGGTGTGACGGGCTCTAGACAGCCTAAATCTAAACAGTCCAGTGCATATTTTTTTCTTTTTTCTAAAATCTAGCATTTGTTTTGGCCTATTTTGCTGATAGGCTAAAAATTTCTGGTTGGAATGCGCAAGCTAAAATGTATTAAAAAAGTTAATTTGTGAATTTGTTTATAATTTGTTTGCTACTTTTCATGTCATATACTCATGCCCTGACGTCCACTAAGTTGATATATCATTATTTGAAAGGGGTCGTTTATTTATTTCAAGTACCCTTTTTGTTTTAAATTGTTTTTACTCTAATCAAGAGCAGAGTATGTAGTGGCATGCTTATTCTTGTAATGTAAGGCTCAGTCTTTCTTTTTTTTAATGGAGCTGTTTTATCCAGGTGTGGGACAGAAGGACCCTGAGTGAGGGAAACCCCAAACCAGTGGGGATACTAGCTGGGCATAGTAATGGAATCACATTTGTTGACTCCAAGGTAGGTTCCAGCTTCTTGTGTATTGTCTCTTGTGGTGATGTGGATTGCATTTTCAGGGTGATGCGAGGTACCTGATCACCAACTCTAAAGATCAGTCTATCAAGCTTTGGGACATGAGAGCCTTTTCATCGAAGGAAGGCATTGAAGTGAGGCATTTTCTGTAGGGGAGGTCAGCTTTATGAGGTGTAATGGTTGACTAAAACCTTTCTCCTTCCCTGTGTTCCAGTCAACCCGAATTGCTGTTGCCTACCAGAATTGGGACTACAGGTGGCAACGTGTCCCAAAAAAGTGTATGTGTTGCTCAAGTTATGTGCTTGACAAAATGTGCTTCTTTTAATATAATCTCTCTTGAATTTTCTTTACCTATTCAAGTTTTAGTAGAAAGGATATATAAGGGTGTTCCTTGTTGTTCAGTCCAGAATTTAAAAAAAAAGGTAACTTGCTGTAATAAGTAACTAATTAACTCAAGGTTTATGCCTGGGGGAGAGGAGAAATTGGGGGGGGGGGGGGGGTGGAAGGGTTGGGGTGCAGACCCAGTCAAGCTGTATTTTTGGTGGCTTTTTGTCTGTACCGCTAGTGTAAAATGAATGTAAAATAAAATTTGAAAATTGATATCTTCATGCAATCACACTGTGCCATGAAAATTTTATTTTAAAAAATTTGTAGGGCGCACTATGGGGCAGTCATTGGCATGTTACTGCTAAAATGTAACAGTGTTACATTTACAATTACTCAAGGAAAAAAGTAATCCTGCTAAAGTTAATTACAAAATTTAAAGATGAACATGTTACAGTTACTTTGGTAAAGTAACACCGTTACTTCGTCGTTACTTTCCAAAAAAAATATTAGAAAACATTCAAAAGGAACCTACCTTAATAGGCCTTTAAATTAGCACAGATTTTTCTTAAGACATTGTGTGGTTCACGGTAGTGAATCTGATTTTTTTTTTTTAGAAACTAAGATTTTCCCAATAATCAATATAACATGCTTGGTTCTTCCTATTTTATTTTTACCATGAGTACCTCCCTGAACAAGATCGCAGTTTAAGACAGTATTGAGGTAAATCCATTATATGATAAAGCATTTATTATAGTTTCTTGTTTGGCAAAATTACAGGAGACTAATTTTTTTAAATTTTAAGCTAGCAGATACCTGCCGGTGATCCATGAAGAACTTTAAAATAGGCGCGACCTTTATAAAATATACACGAATACGACAGCATGCGTCTAGATCTCGGGTATATCCAATAATGGTGCGAGTTTACAATTGGTCAGTTCTAATTTTGGATTTCTTCGGTTAGGTGAAATGGGACGGAAGCAATACAAAGTGTGCAAGTGTGAAGTCAATAATAATATAAGTCATACCTTGCAATCAGCTTTGTAGATGTTTTCTTATGCCACTCTAATCCACTCATCCGTCGAATCGTTTTCTACTGTATGCGCACAATCTTTCATGAAACACAAAGCTTCTCTTAAAAACTTTGAGAGCAATGTTCCGGCAACATTCCTTTGTCAAACCCGCTGAACACGGCATTGGTGCAAAATAAGTACTGATTGAAGTACAAACGACCACTGCTTGTAGAATTCCAAACGGCTGTTGCAACCCTTTCTCCGCCACTTCCTAACCAAATCAGACACGTTTGTGCTCCTCCATCTCACCGCCCCAACTAGAAGAGACTGCCCGGAGCCCACGACGTGAATGTTTATAAATCAACTGATGCCAAGTGCCCCTGGTTCCGGCTAAGGGTGGTCTTTCAATTTCAAGAAAACTCGCAAACAAGCAGAACGACACCGACGTTTCGAGCGAATACGCTTTCTCAAGTAACGGGACCTGAGGAGCAGAGCAATAGGGGGACAGCAAGTGGGTGGCTTGAGGCAAGGCCGGTAATTGGGTTACAAAAACAAAGGGAAGGGAGAACAAATGGGCCTAAAGTCGAAACCCTGCAAGAGGGCATCTGGGAGTTGGACGATTGAAATTACTTAGAGGGAAAGGAAACAACAATGTTTGGAAAATCAAATGTGCCGTAAGCCTGCGACCGTTCAAGGCGACAATCGCCAAAGGCTGTCCTCCGCGAGAAGCACTCGCTTCCTCCGCCGGACGAAGAAAAGAGAAACGCTTTTGAAATTTTGCGCTTGGTTACTTCTGTGGCGCTGTGGGCGATGTATCATACATGGTGGGTACGGACACAAACGTCCCCATCTTCTCAGTTGGCAGGACCAGCTTGGCCAAGCAAGGTCAGCCAAAATTTAGAGTATTATTATTTGTGTTTGTTTCCCCTAGTGGTCCAGACGGTTTGTGCAGCAGTTTTTGCTATGCCCTTCCTGTATCAGGACTTGGGACTTTCTCACGAGTTGCGAGACGATTTGGTGGTTTTTGGAACACTTTGAGATCATATTATTATCCATTCTGAGATTAGTAGACATAGTTTGCCCATTTTGAATTGTTTATTTAGACATCACTTTTAACGCTTGGTCTGAGTGTTCAGTAATCATTTATATTATATTTGCTATGTATGTTTGGTGCTGGTGTTCCCACACACTCAAGCATGATGTTTGTTTTCCTTCTATATTTTCAGTATTGGATCGCTATGTCAAGCTCGCTGGTGACACCTCGCTGATGACGTACCAGGGACATACCGTACTACAAACTTTAATTCGCTGCCATTTCTCGCCAGCAGCCACCACTGCACAGCAGTTCATCTACACTGGCTGTGCTTCTGGCCGGGTAGTTGGTTAGTCTCAACTTTTCTGCTTTGGCGTTTTCTTTTCGTAGTCACTTTTTGCCCACCTCACAATTCTTTCCGTGTAGCCTTTCCCGTATTCCATTCACTCTTCCCTCTGACTGATGGTCAAAGCAACAAGCTGTCCGCTCGAATTTTGTGATTCCTCCGTGTCGCATAACTGCCCTGGCAAAACTTTTCTGCACGAGACTCTGGCGGACAGCTTGTAGCTTCGATGTCCTGTCGGAGGGAAAAAGTAAAATGTAAGTACTGGGGGGATTACATGTTAAAACAATGGAAGGCATCTGGCATGACAAGTGAAGGACAGAGGATTATTTTTGACACTATTTTGACGTCTCCTGTCAAACTTGTCACCACAAACTGTCCAAAGTTTTGACTTGAAAGCTTCAGACTGAAATGGATTGAAAGAGGCGGTAAAAAGAATTATCATCTTGCTTGCAGTCGGCATTGTGCATTTTTTCGACAAGTGTTATGCAGTCGACTGCAGTTTTTATAACCAGATTTTTTAAGTGATTGGGAATCAAAGAAAACTTCAAGATACAACTCAGCCATTGGACCGCACGTAATGTTTGCTTGGTAGTACCGTGCTAAATGTCACCGAATGCATGATTTATTTCTCATAACTTATAACAGACGAAAGAAGTTTGAATCTCTTAAACAATCGGATCATAAAAATGACAGATGATTGCACTACATTTGGTGTCAGAAAATGCGTGTTGAACTGCGATGCAGACTGCAAGATGATGATATTTTGCTCGGTGTGTAGGAAGCTTTGTTGTTCGTTTGCACCAGTCAAGGAAGATCAAGGAGGCAACAATTGCATTCGCAACACTTATTTAACGTCCCAGTGGTCCGCCCCAGACTTGTCATACATGAACAAAAAGAAAATCTAAACGAAACAACAAACCCACGAACCAGATGCGAAGCGAGACCGGTAGGACTTTGCAACCTTTTGAAGATGTGCTCGCATCGTTGTAGAGTTGGAGGTACCTACAAAAATCATTCAAAGCTCTTAGGGGTATGTTGCATACACACTTACATTTGTTACATGTAGAACAAAGATATTCAGCTCGCCTTTGTTCTAGGTTAAACATTTTACGCCATAGCTGCATGCTGAAAAGACTTGCGAAAGCACGGCATTGCTGCCGGGCGATGTCACTGTCGTGTCCGAAAGGAATTGATCGACTATTGAGCACACAGGCACAGACTTGCTTAATGAGACAAGATTTTTCCAGTGTCAGGTAGGACCAAAGCTTCTTAGGCATGCAAAACAATGATTTGTGACTCCATCAACACAACAACACTGTCCAGAACCAAGAATGAAACATTGACGCAAGACATCAGAATAATACTAAAGTCATTATTTTGACATAGAACATCAAAATAACGGAAGCGACGTTATAGATGTCAAAATAGTTTTGGAGTTATTATGACAATGGACGTCGAAATAGTCGCTGTCAACTGAAAATTCGGCTACCTTGCGCCTTCTCTGCAATAAGCCTTCGTCTTCTTGTATGCACATCGACTGAGATTTGAACCCACAAACTGGAGATCTATAGACGAGCACTTTGTCTCAGAGCCACCGAGGTGACTACTGTTGGAGGGATAAGTGAACAGAGCATTGCCTTGATCTCGTCCTGTCAGTTTGTTCGAGTGGCAACCTTGAAAGCCTTTTTGCTTTAAAAATATGAACCCAACAGCTGTCTAAACTTTGTGAGGGTTTGCAGTAGAAACAGCTAACTAAAGAACATGCCAATGTGGGCTAAGCATTTCATTGAGGCTATTGACCAACTGGATCGGCAGAGGGTGGAGAGGCCAACAAATTACCGTATATGCAATCGTAAACCGTTTTTTTTTTTTTTTGGACGCGACGGGGATTGCACAAGAGTAGAATAATCAAGCAGCCTCGAAAAACGATTTCAGCCAAAATATTGAACTCGTGCAACTTCTGCTTTGTACCAGCCACTCTCCACTTGTTTATCGCAGCTTTCTTTTCCGTCATCATCATGCTGTAGTTGACACATTTTGTTGGGAATCATCTTTGGCGTCATTTGGGGGCCCTTATCGTTACGTGGAATTACGTTTCATGTACCAATTTTCATGGACACACGTTTCATCGACACAAACATTTCATCCACACTCATTTCGTGAATTTCACGCTGTAGGAACATTTCGTCACACATGTATCGCTGGGGTGTGCGTTAACCCACCCCCCCGCCTGCATTCACCCCGCTTCGCGGCGACATTCTGCGGCGGCTTATTACAAAAATGTTAACCCGCCTGACCGACTCGTACACACCGCTTCGTGGCTGCAGTCTCATGCTGCTTATTACAGAAAAAGAAAGCTTATCTGAGCTGTCGATGAAACATCTGGTGTTGATGAAACAACCTGTCTATGAAACGTCGCTCTACGAAGTGGTTGCCACTATACGCCTCGCAAGTGGGCTCATTTTCGTCTTCTGCGCATGAGAAAGGAAGTAGTGGTGACGTCAGAACGCCGAGCCCTGATTGGCTGATCGCGACCCCCTATCTCAACGTCGTCTGCTCCTCTGCAACGTCGTCTGCTCGCAACATCGTCTGCGTCTGTCTTACCTTTCCTGCGACCTTCGGAGCGAACGCGACTTCGCCTTTAAAGGGATTGTCCGGTCAAATTTTGTATTCGAGAAAACAATTGAATATTATTGTTATTGCCTCGAGACGCATCGTACGTGCAATATCTGAATTTTATATACACCTCTGCGTGAGTAATTAAATTTATACTGCTCCAATCGCATTCTAGCGCAAACGCTGCTTTCGTTGGCAACATTGAAGCTCTGACGTCACAAAACACAAAGCGAACATGTTTGTCTCGTCGTTTCCCTGCGAGTGAACGCCTCAGCGTGCTTCGTTCTTGTTGTTGTGCTCGACTTCTTTCGTGGTTGGGTGAGATTTTTGTTGCGCGGTTGGGTGCCACAACCACCGGGCAGCACATGCGAGCCAAGACATGACGTTCCACACTTTTCTGCGAGAGACGTGCAGTGACGAGCAAGTGGATCATCATCGTGCGTAGGGACTGGGTTCCCGCCAAGATCGAGATCCCGCTTATGCAGGAATCATCTCACAGAAGAAAGCTACAAGCTGAGCTCTAAGCGGACAGAAGGGTTGTAAGCTGAGGTGTGATGCTGTGCCAACGATTTGAACTACGTCCACCCACTCCTCGCCCAAATCGGGCCAGTCAATTTAGGTCTGTTCGATTCGCCTGAACTGGCTGAACTAGTTCAGCAGTGCAGGAACTGGTGCATTCGATTCAACCGGAAGTTGCACGACCGCTGCACTGGCGAGGTCTATTCATCCCAGTTCTGAACGAGTTCAGACGCAGTTCCTCAAAATCTTGCACCGGTGTTCGGCTCCGGACTCAGTTCAGCATCCGTGCAGAAGCAGACGACAAGAGCAGACGGCGGTAGCAGACGACACTCCTCGTCCGCCTCTACTCACGGTACCATTTTTCGCAGCTCTTGCTCAAATGTCCTGCAATGTTTAACAATAACGCCGATACGGAGGTTGCATTTCCTCTCATTTATGATAATAACGTACCCGCGGTGGATGCGGAATTGAGATCATAACCGAGGGTAGGAATTTGCTTGATTATGATATTCTCAAAGCGTTTTGGGCACCTGCTCGTGTAGGTTTGGCTCCCTGCGGTGAGTGTTGAAATATTGGCTCACGTAAATTGTTTCTGTTTGATGCTATGCGGAGATCCACAGTGTTGATATTCTTACTTACAAACACAGGAAAGGTATTGCACTCTTGATAGTCACCGCCTTCAATTGCTTTTGGGTGCATATTGACGATCCAATACATTTCAGAGGTCTGGGATTTAGTGCGTTGACACTCGCATGTCCCCGTAGCTGAGCATAATACTGCATGCTTTGTCCGCTGGTATCTGTGGACGCCCACTAACGGGCCTGGGAAAAACGCTGAGAATTGGCATTTTTGCCGATTCTCGCTGCTTCAACTTGACGCCAAAGTTACGGTCGATAACTGTCTTGGTAAAGACGCTACCGTCAGGCCTTCCTCTTCGAGGTGACCGGTATACCGACCGCGCGCTGCCGCCAGCGACTCTCGACGTAAAATCATCCTGATGCCGCGAACCTATCGTCGAAATGCAAAGATTCCCTTTGAGGGGCTTTTGCCGCTACCAGAACTTCCTGGCCGAATCGAAGAGACCTTGATTATGCAGCGAAACCGAAACCAACAGCTAGGCCATCTCGAAATGATACCAAAACTTGTCTTTAGCACGCGTACAGCCCGATATCTGTTTGACCCGCGTGTGAAAATGGAGCGTGACTATGATTCACCAAGCTCGTCCAAGTCAAGTGACGACATGCATTTGAACGGTTCGCCGTTTGCCTTCAGCCCGTGGACATCGCCTCTGAGGGAAGGGCCCGCAGCCTCATCACCGATCCAGTGGATCCGCCGAAATATCTGCCCAGATGTCGCTTCGTGTACCTAGCTGTGCCACTTCAGAGGCGAAATCTGCATCCTTTGCTTTGCAAGCGCCCCTAGTTCGATCGGCGTCCGTCGCAGTTGTGTTTGCGCAAAACAGCATATACGTTTGCTCAAAGCTTATGGCTGTCTGCGAGTAATATCCTGCTAAAAGGCGGGACTTTTTCTGCACGTGGTTGGGAACTGCATTAAAAGAACCGTATTTCAGTAGGGTACTGCCTAGGAGACTATATAATTCGAAACAAAATACGACACCCGTCGACCAACGCTTGTTATCCCCACCATCCGACAAACCTTTGCGTTTTGTGACGTCACGCAGCACCTACGGATGTCAGCCATTGACACTGGCGAAATTCGGGGTGCAGTTTCGTACATAAGCTCATGAAAGGTTTAATTAATAACGGGAGATCATATACCAAAATAAAAATGATGTTTGTCTATATGAAGGCTCCCTCGATGTAACGAGCGCAACAACTTAAGTACTTCCTGTTTTGACCGGACAATACCTTTAAAGGCCGACCTACAGAATTGTCTTCTGCCGGGCAGAGAACCGGTTCCCAGTTTCCTTCTCTCATGTCCCTCTCGCACTCGTCTCTCCTCCTCTCTTCACAGGAGCAGGTCTCCGAGCTGCTACCCGCAGAAAGGAGGAAAGTCTCCCCCTTTCTCAAATGGAAAGGAGGAATTGAGGGAGAGTTTTTTTCCTTTCTGCTTGTTCGTCGGCCTTTAAGGAAGGGCAGACGAAATAACTCGAGCGGTACGTTGTTTTTGTCTAACAACTAGCAGACGCGCATCAAGGTGGGAAGTCAAAGGACTCACTGGCGAGGTTTCCCGGGGCGCTGAGGTTTGTTTGCTTAGAACCAAGAGTGAGCGTGTTAGTGTTCGCAAGTTCCCTCCCAAATACTTTTTCCCTGCATTCGTGTGCGGCGAGACCCCTCACTCTTTAACGGCGCCGACGGGTTGGCGCAGTTAACGTCGTCTGCTTTACGTCTGCTAGTCAAAGCGATGGCTGCTTTACCTTTCATGCGTCTGTCGGAGATTCACCGCTTCTTCACCGGCGAGAGTCAGCGTTGCCTCGTGAAACAAAGAGATAACAAGAGGAAGAAATTGACTTGTTAATCTGAAATTGAAGTCAGCGATCAAAGTATAACACGCGAAGGGTTCACAAGGGTCGCGCGTGCATATTCCATTCAGCACGTCAGCCGGTCGTGGGCAGACGGTCGCCGAGTCGCGGAGTGCCTGCTAGGCCTAACTGCCCAGCTCGTTTGGTCGCGTTCGGTGGAATCGTGGCTATTGGAGCTTTTCCCTGGTGTTTGTGGATCCAGCGTTCTTGTTCGTCGTGCTCTGTTTCAAGTAATTTTTACTTTTTTCTTGCTGCTTGAAGTCGGGACGTGTCAGAAGCTCACGTAGAAAAATAAACGTCCGTGGGTCGTCGCGACCGCGACGCTGTCGGCCATGCTGAGCTGTCGTAGGATTTCGCCGTAACCTGCGCAAAACTTGCGAAAATTTCGTTTAGTGAATACGAATTCGTTCTTAAGTTTTGTCTTACGCACATGTTTGCCGTAAGATTGTTTCGTGAATCTGGCCTCTGCACTTCCGAAAGTCGCAGGAAACGTAAGACAGACGCAGACGACGTTGCGAGCAGACGACGTTGCAAAGGAGCAGACGACGCTCAGATAGGAGAGCGCGAGCAGCCAATCAGGGCTCGGCGTTCTGACGTCACCGCTACCCCCTGCGCAAGAAGCAGACGAACTTGCCCTCCGCATTCATTTGGTGCTGCTTGGAGTCAACAGCATGATTCAGGCCTATCGGCGTGAAGTGCACTCAAATTAAAGAAATATGAGAACGCTGGTGCGGCTTGCCTGGTGGCAGAGTGCTGTTGGCTGTAGCTTCACTGTAGCAGTAGCCATAGTAAGCGGGCAAACGGACAGCAATGGTGACTGTGGCACCTACTGAATGATAGTAGCGGAACTGGAATTCGACTGCGACCTTATTCCCGCTCCTCTGTTGCGTAGGATGCGGTATTGAAGCTGCAACTTAAAACCAAAATGGCAGTGACTTGGTTCACAGCAAAATTTTGGTGGGTGGAAACGGTGCAAATCAAGTCTGAAAAAACGAGCATGCAGTGTTTGAAATTTCTTTTGCTGTTATAAATTAAAATTGCTCTGCACACTCAAGAAACACATTCTTCAAACTGTTTAAATAAGCCATGTATGTCACAAGACCTTTTCACTTTGCTCTTGGTAGCTTACTACTGTGTAGAGCTACAAATCAAATAATTCCAGTAAATGCTGAAAAAAAAAGCAGTGCATGGCTCTCTCCCCTCTCTTAAAGGGGTTAGGACATAAAAATTAAACTGGTAGATTATTCTCGAGTTAGTCAGATCATGGTGCCCGTAAACCACGTGATCATCATATTTAGTTTAATGCTCTCTCATTCTAGGCGCCCCATACTCGCCTAAGCTCGCCTCGACACGGTACGATCGCACGCTCACGTTACTTGGCTACTCCAACATATGCTCTTGCTCTTGTACCTTTGCCCTTAGATCTTCCACCGTGCATGTACCTGCGCGATCGTCGCAGGCGACGGCGAGTTCGTCCATGATGATCTCGTCGTCGTCGCTGGAGCTGGTCGCTAGCTGGCCGAAGTCAAAATGATCATCATCTAACATCTTTTGATAACATCACTCTCATTGCTGCTGCAATCAGTGTCAAAATTCTCCAATGAAGTGAGTGATGCCGTAGATGTCACTGTCTCGAAACCGCATGCTCGAAACGCAGAAGGTAAACGTGGAAGCTAAACTCGAGATGCGTGGAAGGGACGTCACCGACCCAACAAACACGGCAGCATTTTCGAATGAGGCGGATCCAAGGGTCTTACATATAAATCGAATTTATTTACAGAACTATCGCGTCATTTTCAAAGCAAATTTATCTGGATTATTGGAACATACAGTGGGTCCTAGCAGTATAGTTATTTCATATTTTTAACATGTCCTAACCCCTTTAAACCTTCATTTCCAGGCAGGTAAAATGCATCACGAAGCCACCTCAGGGGCATAATTATTTCTCTTGTTTGGGATGTTTGAAGCATCTGGCATTTACAAGATTTTGTCTGATAATATTGACTGACCACAGTTTTTTTTTATGAAAGTGTGCTGCTATGTGGAAATGCTTGTGTGGCATCGGTTACCCTCGGAATGAGATAAGGTGTGAGCTTTTTCTGCTTGCAAGATTTCAGGATTTCTTTTAGGTGGCTTATATTTTGATACATTGATGCATTAGGTCAATTGAAGCATATTCACTAATGTTTAAAATACAAATAAGGTTGCTTTACTCGAAAAATATTAGCGGTTTATATATATTGTCAAGAATGTTTCAAAGACATGTACTTCAAAAGTCTATTGACAAAGTTGTGTTTGACTGCGTTTGACTGCATAGCGACAAGAAATAACAGCGAGTCACCGGGACATACACGCTTTGTGTGTGGCATGCAAATCTATGCCTTGAATTGGTTACCATGCCGCATATGAAGCACGCATGTCCCAGTAACTCGCTTCATAATTCGCTGAAAGTCCTCACAACGTATTAGAACGATACTGTGTGAATGGGCCTTAGCTAAATTTAGATTGAAATTATTCTTGTTGAAAATTTTTTGGGAGGCTTACGTTTATTTTAAGTACTGATAATGAATTGGTCAATTCTAATAGAAATCTGGAATACTATAATGCTATACCGGGTGTTTCAGCAAAGACTGACGAAAATTTCTAAAATTAGTGTGTTCCAGGTAAAAATAATTTTCTCAGGACCGCATTATTGGTGTCAAACGTCAGAAAATATGCAATATTTACTAATTAATTTGATAATTAATTAAATGACTAATTAACTTTTTTGATTAGTGAAAATAGACACATGGTTCAATTAGAAACTTGCTGAATGTCATAGAAAACCACTAAGTCAGTAATTTTCAGAAAGACTGAGGGCATGAGAAAGTGTAGTAGTGTGCTTAGTTACCACTCGTGGAGCAGGTACAAGGCTAGCGGTTGGGATAAGGGACCCGTGCGATTTTTTCATCTCTTATCGGAGCCCCAGCCTTTTACCTGCTCCACAAGTGGTAACTTTAGCGCACTATTACGCTTCTCATGCGCTCAGTCTTTCTGCAAATTACTGATTTAATAGTTTTTGATGATGCTCAGCAAGTTTCTAGTTGGAACCATGTGTATATTTTCACTAATTAAAATGCTAATTAGTCATTTCGAAATAATTAGTAAACTAATTAGTAATTTTCTCACATTTTTTTACATCTGCACGAACATTCCTCAAATTAGTGTATTCCAAGTAAAAAAATAATTTTCTCAGGACCGCATGAACGAGTCGTGCGTTCTTGAGAAAATTATTTTTTTACCTGGAATACAGTAATTTGAGGAATTTTCGTCAGTCTTCGCTGAAACACCTGGTGTATAAAAACATTTATTTAAATAAAATAAATAAATTATATTCTACCTAAAAAAAATGCATGATTTGTTTTTACCTACCTTGGTGAAAAAACACACAATATCGCTCCTAAGTAAAAATGTTTCTCACTATATTAAGATAGCGCTAACTAAATTTTGTTTTAATTCGGGTGGACGGAGAGGATGCATCTTTTGACATATGTGGCTTGTTCAGGCAGTTAAACCTTTAGCCTGCAGTGTCCCTTCAACTGCACACGGTGAATGACTTGCACAAAGAGGTCAGAATAATTGAGTGCACCCAAAATGAAGCTGTTTGAAAAGTTGGTTGGCGACTGCACATCAAATGCTTTAGGTGATAACAGTGAGTATAAATGTAATGGAATGAGGTTTAGGGAATATACAGCTGGGTGGGTTGGCCTTTCTCGTTGCAGTGTATGACCTGCTGACTGGTAAGGTGGCCACTGTCCTGTCTGGCCACAGGGGGTGCGTGAGGGATGTTTCTTGGCATCCGAATCTGCCTGTGCTTGTGAGCTCATCGGTAGGTTTGCTTTTTGTGGTTTCTCTTTAGTGCGAGTTCACAGTTGGTGTGGTTTGTTGCCAAGAATATGTGGTTATCTTTTATTTTTGTGTCTAAGCCCTTCTGATGATTGCAGGGGCTATAAATCCCTGTGAGTATGATTACAGTTCTAATACAATTACCTCGAAGTATTCATCAGTTTCTACTGCTGTAATTACTTGACTATAGGGCAAGCCTGTCATGGTGCACGTGGCCTGTCATTCTAATTTATAGGAGCCTATTGAATCATGAGCATTTGAAATATTGTGCCTAATATCTTTTTGTAGGTCACACTTTTCAGTTGAGACATTCGGAGGTATACCGTATTTACTCGAGTAATAGCCGCACTATTTATGAACAAGGCCCTCAAGTGCTCTTCCCCACAGAACACATATACAGCCAAACGTTGCGTTGCGCATAAATAACATAGCGAATAACCAGATGGAGAACACGATTCTCCATACAAATGCAATCTTCACAAATGATATCTTTGCACGAAGGTGTTATCTCTGTCCTGCGAACAGCTTGAATCATTCTGTTGATCGCGGTGATTGGCGATCTGCGTGCTTCGTGGAAAAACAAACCCTCAGGTTTTCTTTATAAACAGTGCGGCTATTACTCAAGTAAATATGGTAGTCTGAGAGTGTAGTCCTGCCCATGGTGATGCATAGTTACTAATGTACTCATGGCATAGTTTATCTTATTAAGCAAGAACATAGATGACCCATTATCATGAGCAAGGTACACAGACAGACATGCACTCTTAGTAAAAGAGTCATTTTTTGGTGCATTTCCACTTGATTGGATCAGGAGGCATAGTACATGCACTGTAAAACAACAGGTGCTGTAACGTTGCACAGTTGCCACTGCTTGATTTACCAGACTGATTTCTGACCAGTGCATGTTAGAGTTTATTCATCATTGTAGGAGAGACTGGTTTATTCATAATTGTAGGAAAGTTGTGGACAGGTTTATAGTAGAGAACAAGCTCTTCCCACAAAGCCCTTCACACTTTCCACTTTAGCAAAGCAAATGACAGAGAGAAGACAAGGAGGGACTTGCCTCCTCTCCAACATTCACTCGGTTAAACTGGGAAAAGTGGAGGGCTTTGTGGGACAAGCTTTTCATGCACTATTTACTTGTCACCGAATATAGTATTGGAATTGGGTCACGAAGAAGAAAAAAAAAAAAAGAAGATAAACATCTTGAAGCACATTAAAAATTGGTCTAGCCTCTAGAATGGCTACCTTCAAAACTGCAGTTTCAATATTACCTCTAAAGTCAATAATGAAAATGTTAATTAACAAATTTAACTATATTACCTACCTGGTGGTGATGTGTGCAGTCCATGGAATAGTCACCATTTTTTGTAAAACAACTCAGTCAGTCAGTTCAAAACAAACACTCTTTTTAGTATCACGAATAGACTATGAACATACCCAGCTCAAATGAGCTTTGCATGCTCAGGTCATTTCTTCTTTCTAGTGTATGCTGTAGTGCCTTCATCGTATGGGTTTTGCGAACCCATTTCAGTGGCACTATTCAGTTTGAATCATTCAATAGAACCATTAAACCAGGTGTTTTATAGAAGTAATGAGAGTGAAAGCATTCTCTTAGGGAGAAGCTTGCAATATAACCTCAGGATTTGAAACAAACGTTCAGGAGCTGTTCAAAATCGTGGAAGGTTGTTATCCTGCATGCTGTTTCTGTGTGCTTCTCTGCAGCATACTGGTGTTGTGCACAAAAGTACTCCTATGCAATTCGGAGAAGCTAACTTCACCTTAGACCAGTGGAAAATTTTCTTAGTGATCTCCTAGAGTTTCCTCAATCTTGTGTGTGTCAAGAACTCATTAATTGTAGCAAAATATTACTTGAGTGACATCTAAACTATCCACACCAAAAGTGAAAGTGTTTTCTCCAGTAACAAGTCTCTGCAATAAAAGCTTTCGGCAGTTTCATCACTGCATGCTCTAGAATGTGTGAGGTTCCATATGCCCATACTTTCTAAAAATCATATCCACATATGGCATCCAGTGTTTTTGGGGTTAATATTGTAGGACTTAAGTGTCATAGGATCTCATATACTGCATTGTTGGGAATAACTGATAGTGGTAATGACTGATTTTGCCTGCCCTTCTTAAATATTGAGCTGTTTATTAAACTTAGTTGACCTTAGGCTCACAAGGAAGTAAGGGCTTCAGACTTTGTATATAACTGATGGATTTAGATCCATTTCCCAGTACCCATATGTATTCCAAAGCAAAACAAGTTCACACTCATAACCTTAATTGAGCAGTTAGTCTATTCGTGGCTCCAGCAACCTGTAGAGGATGCCACTTTTAACAAATATGGCGGCCATAAACAGTTCATGCCATGGCATGTGCCAGCTCATTGCACAGTGCTCAATGCACAATGCTTAATGCACAATGCTTAATGCACAATGCTTGGGTTGAAGCAGGCAACCATTGGCTTCAAAATGATTTACCTTGATTTTTATTAGTACATACAAGATCTGCAGCAGTGTGTTGGCAGTTGTGTTGGCGTAGATGAGCTTCCAGAGGCTTAGCCTTCTTTGGGGAATCGATAAAAAGACTACATACTGTTCCGCTACCGTGCTTGAAAATGTTGATAAGTGCTGAACACTCAATGTCTGGCTTATGTGATTGTATAGGTTATGTTCAGGGCGACCTAGGCTGACCTAAGTAACGCGATGACATGGCAGTAATGACAGAGTCACCGGGGAAAACTTCATCCTTTACAACATGAAAAGCAATGCAAGGTGCACATACCGTATTTGCTCGAGTAATAGCCGCACTGTTTATGAAGAAAGCCTCTGGGTCTGCTTTCCCACGGAGCACGGCGATAGCAAATCACCACGATCGGCAGAAAAATGGCAGCTATTCACGGGACAAAGATAACGTCTTCACGCGAAAATGCTATCTGCTCAGATCGTGTTTTTATGGAGAATCATGTTCCTGACCTCGTTATTCGTTGCATCTTTTCTGCAGACCGCAATGATTGCCTGTATGTGTGTCCTGCTGGAAAATAAGTGCAAAGGCCTCGTTATTAAGAGGTGCGGCTATTACTTGAGCAACCACGGTAATTTGTTAGGCTATTATGAGTCACGGTTTTCCCTGCTGCTGTTCTCGTTGCTGTAGACGCAGCCAACACAACTTCCCTTGCTTTACTTTGGTGGCCATCGCATCAATCGCTGAACACATGCTATCGGAGAAGCCACAAGAGACTAGCAGAAATCGTGAAAGGACCTGTTCTGGCCAGTTCATTGTTTTCCCACCAGGTGCCGTCCGTTTTGCTGGAGTCACGAATAGTATGCAGTTTGAGTGTATTGCAATGTTTTTTAGCGTGTGACTTTTGTTTGCTTTAGCATGCTGCTAAAGGGTTGTGAAACCTGAGGCATGGCTATAGCATGCTCGACAGAGTGAAATTGCTGAATACCATATAGGTGTGAAAGTAACAAGTGGCCTATTCTTCCAGTGGGATGGGGCTATCTGCGAGTGGGTGTACAGCAGTGACCCAGACAGCAAGAAAGGCCGGGGGAAACGCACTCGTTCTGCAAGACAACAGTAAACCTACATCTGGAGAGCTGCCGAGACAGCTCCTTGTTTTTCTCATTCAAGCCTTATGTCAGTGTTGCAGTGCTGGTAATCATTTCACTGGGACCTGAAAAGTATTCATTGTTAGAGATCCATCACACAGCTACTGTAAAATATCGGGGGAGAGCCCGCCCCGTTTTCACTGAAAGCTGGGTTAATCTACAGGGTGAAACAAGGAGACGCCAGTCTCTTTAAATCAACCAGAAAATTCGGTTTCTTAACCTATCGCGCTACAACTTTGTGCAGCGTTGCCCACAGGTGGTGCATTTTTTTTTTGTAAAATTTGCGAAGAACGAACTTACCTGAGGAAAAAGTAAAGAAAGAAAAAGGCTTAGCTCCTATGGAAACGCAGCGACGCCACCGGTCTGCAAACAACACGGTGCCGTTTCGCATGGGAGACAAGAGATGGCGCAACAAACGCCGCCAACGAACGAGCATACGGCTCCGAGAGCAGGCCTTTTTAGCAGACAATCTTTTCAACTCAAAAGCGGCGCGCGTTCCGCAGGCGGCGACAGTCGCAGAAACAAAAAAAACAGGCGCGGTAACAGCAAGGAACTGCAGTTCCTTGTCTGCAAAAGGGCCGGCTCTCGGCGTCGTCTGCTCGTTCGTTGGCGGCAGTTGGCGTCGCGACCGCTTGCGCCATCTCTTGTCTCCCGTGCGAAATGGCACCGTATTGTTTGCAGACCGGTGGCGTCGCTGCGTTTCAATAGGAGTTAAGCCTTTTTCTTTCTTTACTTTTTCCTCAGGTAAGTTCGCTCTTCGCAAATTTTACAAAAAAAATGCACCATCTGTGGGCAACGCTGCAAAAAGTCGTAGCGCGATAGGTTAAGAAACCGAATTTTCCGATCGATTTAAAGAGCCTGGCGTCTCCTTGTTTCACCCTGTAGACATGGGCACTTGTCCGGTCAAATCGGGCACTTAATCTATAACTTGCAAAAATTCCCAAGTTTGGGAAATGTTGTTAATAGTGGGCGCTTGAATGAAGTGGGCGCTTGAATGAATTGGGCGCTTCTTTGGTATTTTACGGTAAATGCAAATTTATGCATACCACGCTGTGCTTTTTTTTTTTCATCCGGTATTACTGGTTCTTAAAGGAAGCGTGTGTGATAAGTCGAAATATTGAACGAGGTCGCAGTGCGTTTCTTGCTGGACCTCAGCTTGGATCTCCCGAATCTTTATATTTTTGCCAAGTGTAAATTCATCCTTTATTTTTTCTAGCACGTTTCCCAAAAATGTTTGGTGCAATGTGCTTTTAACTTGCTTATTATTTTGCGTGCGAATATGATATTAAAAAAAAAAATTAAGCTTATGATCCTGATAAGTGCTGTTCTGAAAAGATTACCAGCTGTGAGGTATGCCCACTCAGAATTTTCTAGAAACTGATCAAATTGAGTGTGCACTTGCAAAGTGTTTTTAGTGACTTTTTATTTTATTTTTTTCATAAGCCTAGTTTGGGTGCAACGGTGATGGTGCAATTATAGTTCTAGCTTTACTCTTAGTCATTCTTTTGAAACTTTCCTATTTCCTAATTATGACTCAAACAAATGGCATGGTAGGCAACTTTGTGGGTCTATACTCACAGTTGTCTTCCAATGCTTCCCCTGAAAATTCGGATAATGTTTCATTTGGGTTAACTTTTCAGAACGCAACAAAACCAAGTTATTCATTGGTGTTGCATAACGTAACTCTGGTGAGCTTTGGTACATCAAAACACTTGGCACTTCATCTTATGGACTTGTTTCAGGACAGGGTATGTTGCGATAGCTGCACATGGTTGCAGAGAAAGCTTTGCTGTGTGGAAGCTACAGTGGAATGATCATGTTCGTGTGAAAGCTATGCGAAAGGTTCTGTCTATGCCTATGGTGTTAAGAGGATTGTTTTTCAAATGGTTTGTGCACCTAAGAATGACAGACCAAGGTTTGCAGATGACCATGTGTCTTTATGTTGAGAAGTAACTGTTTCTGGTAGTGTTATGGGATACTCTATCTGGTGCATATTTTGGCCCACTACGGTCCAGTGCGAGTGCATAGTGGAGCCAATAGGCTTTCATATTTTCTACCTGCTGCTTTGGCTTCGTGCTGTCAAACAAATGTACAGTTTTGCTCTGTGTGGAAATAGTTTCTTTATAGCTGCTTTATTGTTCATGCTGCCGTGTTTTCAAACTCGGATGAGCAATGTGTGCATTGCCGTGTACAGATCGCTTTTGGATGCACTTACAGTCGCCTACTTTATCATTCCAGAAGACTTTAGATCAAATTCTGGTTGGGCTATGAGCTTTTTTGAGAGCTATATTTTATGTATATGTGAACGGACGTTAAACTGGAAATTTCAACCTGGTGGTGATATTAGCTCGAAGTGGCACTTAATATATTCTAATTATCTGGGTTTTTTTTACTACTAACTGCAGCCGTGAGGTAAGTGCAGGAGTCGATTTAATTTTGGCCAGGACATCTGAATTCAACAGATATCCCATTGCTGTACAAGAAAGTATAGTAGTGGGATTTCTATGTTGAACTCCGCTCTACAAGAAAGTATAGAACAGTTAAAGGAACCATGAAAACAATATCGGGTGCAAACTTAAATCTTATATGGGACGCATGAGAACTAACTAGCACATGAGGACCAGGAGCCCAAAACATAATTTCTGACGTGAAAATTAAAAACATACGAGCAGTCTTTTTTTCCTCTCTCTCTCTCTCTTTGGCACAGAAAGCTTTCCGACTGTTGTGATAAGCCCAGGTCTCAACAGTTCCGAATGCATGACGGCCGAATGTGACTCGCTTGTTGGACACGAACACTGTGTCATCATGACGCCGAACTCTAGCAATGTCCGAAGCACAGGTCGTACTCTGAAAATTGTCATCGAGACGCGTTGTCGGCCCAGGCTGCAATGACCTTTGGCGGCACGAGTTAAGCGCCGTTCACACATTGACAACCGTGTACGACCGAGAGCGACCAGACCGGTTTTTCAGCCTCTTGCAACGTCTTAGGACTCGGCTGCGCATGTGTGAACGGCGCTTTGGCGAATGAACACTGACAGCTTATTGGCTTGTTCTTGCTAGTTCTGGCCAATGGTGGAGGAGGTTCGCGTGCTCGATTAACCTTTGACGCCAGTTACGGTGTGGAAACTTAGAGGAAAGGCATGTCTGACTATAAACGTCCAATTAACATTAAACAAAATCGCGAAAAGTGTTTCGTGGTCCCTTTTAACATAACTAAGTAATGCAGCTATCTTTCCGTTTGCTGTCAGAATCAGCAAAACATGGTTCGTCCAATGTGTTTAAATCTTCAAGAACTGGTTATGCATCATATCGTAAAACTGGAGCGGTGCATCTAATTTTTGAAAATAATTGATTCGGTGAAATTGTGCTACCTTCAAAGCCAACGAGTCGTGGTCATCAGTGGTGTCGCAGTTTTAAGAGCTGCTCCGCTGAATTTGCCTTTCGGGGGAGGGGGGGTATTATTTTGGTCAGCAGTCTCCCTAAACGGTTTCTTTTTATTCAAAGGAATTCTCATGGACAGTGGTAGCATTGACAATCGGCTTCATAAATGTTCTAGTGACATACTATCGGGCCCCAATGAAACGCGAACGGTGGCACATGCTGCGCTACCTGAAGTGGCCGTAATAAAACTGCGGTGTGGAAAGGGAGGCTGCGAGAGAGTGTGTATTTCATTTTCGTGCCCACGTCGGAGTAACCTCCTTCACTCCGTAGTTTTATCAGTTCCTAGGGGTCTCTAGATGGCGTAGCGTGTATCGAAGGCCTCGGTGGTACGCGCTCCACCATTCGTGTTTCATTCATGCCCGATATTGGGGAATTGTAGTAGACCGGTTCCCGCAGCCCGCTAAGCACCCAGATAGCGCTCCGTAATCCGCCACAAGACATTGAACTATGCAGACTGGCGGCGCGCGTGCGCAGGTGCGGCGTTTTCTTCAGGGATACTGTAGCGGAGGAGAAAAACGGTCTACTACAATTCCCTATTTACTACTAAACTGACCGACAGTTGTAGCGCCGAAAATAAAATTTTAGCGGTCTTTTTTTTTTTTTTTTTTTTTGAGGGACTTTGTAATTAATTTAGTCTTTGTATATTTGCTGATTATGTCCCTGAAAGTGCGCTGCTGACGAGCCAAAGCGTAAAGGGTGCTTCGCACAGTTGCGCGAGTCCGACTTGCGACGTTGCAGCGGCTTGCGACGTTGCAGTCGCACTCGGGCGGACTCGCGCTAGTGCGCGAGCCAACCTTTACCCTAAAAAAGTAACGCTGTCCGTTGAATTTTTTTTTTTTTTTTTGGGGGGGGGGGGGGGGGGGGGGGGAGGCACGTTTTGGCGATTGATAGCGAGTTCTGAGAGTATCCTCTACTTTCTTTTCAACTTTTTTCTTTGATTGTTTTGGTTCTGTCCCCTCACCGGAGCATTTTGAACCGCTTGATGGTAGCTCGAGTCAGTTTTGAAATTGGCTGAGCTACTACTATCTGCGACTGTCCAATGAACAGCAAAACGCCACGGAGACAAACTGATTTTTCACGTGCAAAAATAACCGATTGCTGCAAAAAAAAAAAAAAAAAGAAGTTTTTTTTTTTTTTTTTTGCCGTGTTTTTTTTTAATGATTTGTCTAAACATGCTTTCAGGGTCCCTTTAAAAAAAGAAATTGCCTGCGTGTGCGCGCTAACTTTAAAAAAAAACTGAAAATAAGGTAGATGCCCTTGTGAGCACTGAAACCCTCCAGTTATATCGGTATTTTTTCATGTGGCTGTAGGTATACTTGGAGGCTGTCTATACTTTAGGTTTTGGATTTAATAAATATATTCTACATCTTTCACTATGAAGTCTTGTAACTTTTTTTCTTTTCTTCTTTGGTAGCTTGTGTTTGTTTTAGGTGTCAGTGATAAAACAATTTCTAGAACAATAGTACACCTGGTTCGATTGATCGGCTGGCCGCTTTTACTCGCCACACCACCCAACAGCTGCCAGCCGATGGTTTCGTGAATGCGCAGCCTCCAGAGTGCTTGAAGGAGTGCAGAATGCCACGGTGATTGCCCCCGGCCATATTTACTGGCGTGGTGGTTCGTGCTTGCTCTCAAATCATTTGCGTGGTTGTCTTCCATGCTTAGAAATTGCTTCCTCCCGTATCTTGATCAGTGTACTCCAATGTTGGAGTGTAAAAGAATGAATGAATGTTGGGGGGGGGGGGGGGGGGGGGGGCGCTAACCTAGGTTCGTAAATCGGCTGTGAAGCCGCTCGCGCAAAGAGTTGCATCGGGATTGTTGCTTTACAGTGGAAAGGAACGACGCAAGACATCCTTCTCCAACTCCAGTCGGAGGTAATCGAGCCGCGCCGAAACAAAAGGGTTGTGGTGGGGCTTGACTTGCACAGAGCCTTTGACAACATACGGCACACGGCAGTCCTATCCAACATAAATAATTTGGGGCTGGGCGAACGCTTTTTCGCGTACGTGCAGTCGTTCCTCGAAAACCGTACGATAGAAATTTCAGTCGCGGGATACACGTCAGACCCCATACTCACAGGGGACAGAGGCACTCCGCAAGGAGCGGTCCTGTCCCCTATGCTATTCAACATAGCCATGCTGTACCTCCCGAGTAAGCTGGCCACTATACCCAGACTTGGTCACTCTATTTACGCAGACGACATCACGCTGTGGACCAACAAGGGCAGTGACGCGGACATGGAGGAGACGCTTCAGACAGCCATAGACGTCACATATGAATATGTCGCGAATTTAGGGCTCGACATCTCTCCGCTTAAATCAGAACAGCTAATCAAGGACGAGAGCGCACGTCTCACTGACACAGAAGGCTCAGTACAGCGACTGGACCTGAGGGTAGGCGACCAACCCATACCGGGGGTCAGAACCATCAGAATACTGGGCTTAATCTTTCATTGCTTCAAACCAAACACGGACGTAATGCTAAAATTACACTCGATCACCCACCAGACTGTTAGACTCATCAGACGCATATCCAACAGACGCGGAGGAGTAAAGGAAGCAGACATTGTGAGACTCATCAAGGCTTTCGTGGAGTCCCGCTTCCTATACTCCTTACGGTATCTACTATTAAGAAAGACCGACAGGAACAAATGCGATCTGCTTCTCCGGTCGGCGTACAAATCAGCACTGGCCTGTCCCCCCAAACACCAAAACACCAACTGTCCGCCTCATGGCTCTAGGACTACACAACACAGTAGACGAGCTGCTTGAGGCGCACCGCTCTGCTCAGATGCTACGTCTGGCGGGCACCAGAACCGGACGAGCGGTTCTCGAAAGGCTCGGCATACCCCTACCTCTAAATACCGCGTCTCTAATCGTGCCGATACCAACCGAAATTAGGTCTCGGCTCAGGATCCCACCCTTACCCAGGAACATGAACCCGACTTTCCATATTCAACGCCGCAAAGCCCGAGCGGAGGCCCTTCACAAGCTGTACGCGGGGCGTCCCGACGTATACTTCGTAGACGCGGCTAACTACAGCGAACACCGGGACCGCTATGCCCTGGCCGTGGTGGATGGGACGGGGCGCATTGTAGTGATGGCCTCAGTCAAGGAGGATTCCCCCACCAGAGCGGAGGAAGCTGCAATCGGCCTGGCCCTCAACCACGCGTCCGAGTCGTTACGCACCATAATCTGTGACTCCAAGACGGCCATTCTCGGCTTCAGCTCAGGTCGCGTCTCTCGATCAGCAACAAAGCTCCTAACATTGAAATCATCCATCATCCCTCCAGTCACACACCCAATCACATTAATCTGGTCTCCGGCTCATCAGGGGGTCGGTGGTAACGAGGCGGCCCACGCCGCGGCCCGAGATGCGACTCGCCGGGCCGGGACATGCGGGGCGGTCGGCGTGGCCATTCCGATTGCTAACGAGCCGAGAGATATCCCATGGCATAAGGAACCGGTTCGTGGTTTTCATGACATTACACAACACTACAGATTACAGCGCCAGATATACCCACCACCACATAAGTCACTCAACAGACGCCAACAAGTATTATGGCGACAACTTCAGACGAATACTCTTCCTAACCCCGCGACACTCAGACACTACCTCCCGGATCTATACAAGGCCCGATGCACCAAGTGCTATGATCCAACAAAGGACGCCGACGAATACAACAAGGCCACGATCGAACATATATTCTGGTCCTGCCCGGCCGATCCCCCACCGTCTTCCCTCACACGACATTTGACACAACCAGACACTCAGTGGACGACCCTGCTGCTCAGCTCCGACTGCGTTATTCAACTCGCTGCGGTCACAAGAGCCGAGCAAGTCGCCGCCCGGCCCAGTCCGTCCGGCCACTCTGCAGGGGAGGCACCACGCCGGCCGTAGGAGAAGGAACCCGCGTTCTGGATCTTATGAAGCTTTTATAAAGTTTATTCTCTCTCTCCCTCCGGTTTTTTGGTGGATTTGTGCGGATTTTCAATTCTTTCGATTGTCGATTCGAATTAGCCTTCGTATCGAACGTATTTGGCAATATTTCTTTGTGTTCATGGTGTGGGCGGTTTAGTTAGCTTCGTTGAGTGCGCTTCTCCGGTGCGCTAGTGCACTCCCAAATATAGACAGCCGCGGTGTGAACTCCGCCTACTAAAACTCGGCAACGAAGAAACCGCCACTGCGCCTGCGTGCCGATGGCCTTGGCTGTAGAGTTCCGGGTAGCGGAGAGGCTTAGCGAAGGGGGAAACACGGTCTACTAAAACTTCCTCGCTTCGCTGCGTGGCAGCAGCGTGCGTAGGCGAAGAACATTCTTTCAGAGTGGGTGATGCACGCCTGCTTGCCCGGTATTTTAAGGGAAAATGAAAACTCGTTGAATGTCAATGCAACAACTCTCTCAAGTTAAAAAAAAAAAAAAAAAGTTCAAAATGTCCAGACAACTGCGTGCGTTATTGGTAGCGATTTCTTTTATTCCCTCGATGTGTATAGCTAGGCTTACTAATCAAGGGGATTAAGCTGCAGTACAGGTTAAATGTTTGTGTCATATTCCTAGTTTGCTAACCGTCGCAATGATGTTCGAGGGCCCGGTCAGTAATAATATAGTTTAGCTCAAGCAGTGGACAGATGGATGCTTAGGAATTGCCTCAAATTTAGCTGGATTTTTATTTATATATTCATATAACCTGGTGGTTATATGAATATAACCATATGGTTATGAATTTTTATAGGATTTTGTCTACACGCTAAATGCCTTTGATGAGCACAATTATATGTGAATTCCAGTTCTTTCTAGCTTAATCAAGGATTGCACAGATTAATTGCAGCCACCAGACAAAAAAAAAAAAAAAAAAATTGGTACTAAAATTTGGACGTTATTTTAGTGGAATATTACTTTGTTTACCTTTGATTCCACGCCTAAAGTTGTGCTTAAAAGGGGCTTGCCGCTAGTTCAGTCCTTGAGAAAAGTAAATTGTCTGCTGTAGATTGGATACTTCGCAGGAGTGAAAAGGCAAGGAAGGCATATTTTGGAGGGCTTCCAATTATCCATAAAAATAAGGTAATGAAGAAAAAAAATTCCGGGAACAAGCTGCCAGCATGGCGGACGTCAAGGGTTGCAAAAACACTAATTAGCTAAACAATTCACTTACATTTACTAGGTAACTTTTTAATTAGTGAAAATAAACATAGTTCAAATGAGAACAATGGATGCTACGAGCCATTGGAGCAAGTCCGAGGCCGTGTGACTGTCACGTGACTTTGGAGAGGGGGCACAGCGACGCGCAGAAAGTGTATCACGGGCTACGTCCTCGGAACCAGATTGGCTATAGGATAGCTCGTAGCGTCAGCTGCGTCCAGACGTCAGCTGAAACGGAGTATAAGCAGAATCGAAAACCACTAATGTTGGAGAGATGGATGTGAGGCAGGACCAGCGTTTTACGGTGTTCAGGAAAAACGCTAAATTTGGGTGCATTTCCATGTGGAGCGCGAGTTTGTCTGCTTCTTTTGCTGGGGTTGTGGTGACGTCAGACAGGCGCCGAGCTCTTGTTGGCTCTGATTGAAGGATAGTGGGTAGACCCCAAGGCAGCTTGCTTGGGGGTCTACCCACTATCCTTCAATCAGAGCTCGGCGTCGTTCTGACGGAACCGCAACCCCTGCAAAAGAAGCAGACAAACTTGCGCTCCGTAGTGCCACTAAATAAGCTACGCTTCAGAGTAACGACACTGGGCCATATTGTGTCTTAAAATCATGGTTGGCAGTTATCTGAAGCTTTATCTGAAATCACAGGAAATGCTTTTCCGTCCTCCACAAATGTTCAAACCGTTCGCGACAGATCAAAGGAATATTACATGACCTTCCTAACACCGAATCTAATTCTCAGGAAGTCGCACTTTTGAATCATGACGATCGGCCGTTGTGTCTGTCCTGCATACGAGCCAAAATGGCTGCGCCCGCAACAATGTCGGGGAACGGAGTGCCGATACTCTAAGCGCAGCTTATTTAGTGGCTCTAGCGCTCCGCATAAGCGAATCTTTTGCGCCGGGGGCCAAGGCGCGCGACGCACGAGCGCCATGCTTCCCTCGTGCTTCTCTCGGTCCTACGAAGGAGGCGAGGCGGTAGCTTCGCGCCTCAGACACCGGGGGGCGTGACTGCTAGCGCAAAGATGCGCTCCGATAGAAAACCGAAGCCTAGAAACGGGGTCCGAATTTAGCCTGTTTTCGAAACAACGTAAAGTGCTTTCCCTGTCCTGTTTCTTTCTAAACTGATCAGTTAAAGGGACACTGACACCCCCCCAAAAAAAAATTTTTTTTTGCAAGGCGATTTATTATGGTGTCAGAAGACTACCCATTCAATATTTTTCTACAGCGTCGCTCATATTTTTAATAAAGTAAAAAAAAAAAAAACCGCTACTGCTCGAAACTGAACTGGGAAGTCACGTGGCTGTGCAGCTTTTTAGAAGCTACAAAAAATGGGTATAATATTTTCTGTCTATTTCTAGTAATGAGTGTGTGCTTTCGATGACCCACGACTTTGCCTCTGGTGGTTGCCCCGGGTGCCGGATGTCCTAGCTACGCCATTGCGCACGGCGTTGCGTGTAGTACGGGCGAAGGCAATGCCAGGCGAGGGGAGACAGGGCGAGCACTATGAAGGCTGGGGCAGAAGAGAGAAACCTCCTCTCATCTAACGTTCCTAGTGCTCGCCCTTTCTCTCTTCTCCTGCCGTTGCCTTCGCATGCACTGCACACAACTAGTAGCACGGAGTATAGGGACTTTTTTTTTTTTTAACCGTTATTATGTTCTGCGTATCGTACTAGCGGAGCTTTTCAAACATGATATTAAAGGAGCTGTGCAACGATATTCAATTGGAATGTATCTCTCTATACACGAGCTTACTGGCACACCTGGGACTCAAGGATACTCACACGCAACGCCATTGGCCAAGAAACTCCTTTGTTGCGGTGTAATTTCAAGGACAAAAGCGATCCTTTTCATTCAATCTCTCCTTTGCAAAATTTGATGACGTAACTCGGGGGCCCCAGTACACCCAAGTGACGATATTTGAATGCGGTTCATAGATTGGACCCGAGCATTGCGTGGGCACTCGACTTGGGCTCGTGACAATTGCTAGCTCGAGAAGCATTCGGGTTTTGACCCGTGTCCAATCGCTGCAACGACGACAACAGCCGAGCCATAACAATGCCTGGAACTCAGCGCGTGTCCTGCGCTTTGCCAACCCCAGCGCGTGGCTATGATCAACACTGGCGGCATATAATCGGCTCCAGATCACGTGGCCGCTTGTTCTGGCTGCGAGTTGAGGGGGTGAACGCTGCTCGTTTTTCTTAAATTTTTTTCTGGAACTTCTATTGCGTGGGGTTAAAAACGAACGCGTGTTTCATAGGTCATTAACGTTAGGGATCCGTTTTAAGCGGTATTTGCGCAAAGTACAAATATTGTTGCATTGGTCCTTTAAGCGCTAAAAGTCCTTTTTAATTTAGTGGGTTGTTGTGTTTGTTCCGTTTCGAAAGGTTCCGAGACGTCCAGCTTAAAGCTCTCTATAGCCCTAGTCCAGCCGTCCCATAAGGAATCGAGAGGTGCGTCCGAAATATTTCGAGGACCGTTTATTTCACAATAACTGCTCACAAACAAATCAGCGCTACGTGCATACACGAAAACATAGAACACTGACAGCCTTCCTTGGAAGGCCTTTAGGGGTAATCTGAATAAATTAATAAATTTTCCCCTATATACACATAACGTCATAAAGTACACATCTTTACAAATGTGCACACGTATATTTACGTACATATTTGCACAGTCAACACACAAAATCGGATTAGTTCTTTATCCAGCTCACTGAAATTAAATAAGCTATTCCCTCATTTAAGAACTGGGTCACTTAATTTAGTTAGCCCTCAGCAATAGCTTCGTTTTTACTTATCCAAAACTTGGCGATCAAGCAAGATGGAAAGGCGGCGAATCGATCGAGGCCGATCGTTATCCTGAATGAATGTTATCACTGAAATCGGAAATGTTGGCACTCAACGGGCTGTTGAAATGGTGGGAGCCACAAAGAGTACGTCCGGAGCACCCTGGTCCTGAGGCATGAGGAAACCTTTATGCTTGGTCGCTCTATGTCCCCAGCATCTGTAATGACAATATGGTCATACTATTTAGAATTTCAATCGTCAGGAGGTCGAACACAACAAAATTATTGCACGCGTGACCAGGATTCAATGGAACTTATATCGATCAAATTAAAATATAAAAGCCGAAATTTGCCTTTCTATCATCCTCCGTCTGTTTGAAAACCGCACGTGAAAGTTTCCAGATTAAACCTCATTGTTACCTTTTGAGTATGTAGTTGTGCATTAAGCGAAGTGGGGCTGTGTCAGCACTGCAACTTTAAATCGTACTACAACACAACTTCCTTTTGTTAAAAAAAAAAAAGAGATATATATTAATAGGCTTTATTTAATTATTTTTCTTTTCTTTTACGGCGAGATTAAAAACAAGTTTGGTCAACCGGCAGACTAACAGCTATGGGCAGCGGAAATTCAGTGGTAGCATTTGTGGGGAAATAAAACGGTGAATATAAAGGAGGAGCGAACTCACCTCTCCTGTTGGGATAAAAAAAAAAAATCTCGTAGTAATTTGTTTTTGAGAATGGCCACGTCAAACGCGTTCCTCAACAAAGTTCCTAAAGGTTTATACCAAAAACATCCAGCGAATTCGACTAATACCCGGAATGGCAAAAAATGAAAGACGATTACAAATCTCTGTAATGCGAATTTAGAGCGCAGCTCTTGAGGTATTTTGATTGTGCGATATACCGTACTAAGTATTTGAAGAAGAAATATCTATATGTACAAATACCTCGTACTCCTGCGTACATAATATATATATATATATATATATATATATATATATATATATATATATATATATATATATATTAAA